ACTGATCCAGAACTCTTTTTTTGTTTATTTGTTTTTGTTTTTTGAGATAGGGATTCTTTGTTTAGCTCTGGCTGTCCTGGAACTCACTCTGTAGACCAGGCTGGCCTCGAACTCACAGAGATCTGCCGGCCTCCCTGAGTGCTGGGATTAAAGGCATGCGCCACCAATGCCAGACTAGATTTGAATAACACTTTCAGCACTAGCCATTTGGTTTCTTGTCGTTCTTCATCTCTAGTTACCTTTTTAGTTATCCATCACAAGATACTCCCTGGGTTTACATCAGGAGACCAGGAGGAAACAAAATTTAGATCCTTTGCTGTCCCTGTATAAATTGAATAGTAGATGTTCGGTTGGCAAACTGAAAGTAGTAACGTGATCAGTCACTGCCATGGTATACATTTTTTGTTTGGTAATGGTTTGTGTACTGGAAAACTAGGTTGGTATAGTTGTACAGACACCTTTGTACATAGTATTATGGCAGTTGGACTTTTTCTTAATTGTAGTTGGAAGCCATTAAAGGTTTTAATTGAGGGAAGATGAGACCATCAGTCTTCTTCTTTTCTTTCTGTTAAATAGGTATGGGTATGCAGTATACATGTGTATTTGTTTGTTCTCCTGTACATGTGACCTAGGGATCCCCCTTCCGTACCCCTTGGGTGTTGGGATTATAGGTGTGTGCCACACCTGCCTGGCTGGCTTTTACATGGGTTCTGGGGATCTGAGCTGCAGTTGTCACAGTTGTTTGACATGTGAGCCGCCTCCCCAACCTCCAGATCTGTTTTTTGGTTTTTACGAGACAGGGTTTCTCTGTATTGTTTTGGAGGCTGTCAGTCCACCCGGCCTCGAACTCACAGAGATCCGCCTGCCTCTGTCTCCCGAGTGCTGGGATTAAAGGCGTGCGCCACCACCGCCCGGCTCAGATCTGCTTTTGAGGTACTATAGTTGTAGTGGACTCATTAGAGAAAGTTATAGCTATTGGAGTTATTGCAGAAGACCAGCTGAAGGGGAGGGGGGGGAGTCAGACAGAATGTAGGAGGTGGGTAGACCTGAAGGAAATAACTGACTCCGTGTTGAGTTGGCTTAGTTTAGGACAAAGGAATCATAATGATATTAGAAGTCTGACTGGGATAAATGTGATGGTGGCATTTACTAAGATGGAAGCAGGAAGACTTGTTTTAAACCTGTGGCTGGTTGTCTGGTAAGATACTGAAGTAAAATACTGTGTAAAAGTTGAACAGATATGTCTGTGGTTATCATATCATCCGTGGTTATCATACCATCTGTTTTAGATGGAAGCTATGAGAACAGTGAGATTGTGCATAGATGAAGGGAAGACAGAGAATCCCAGGATTCAAAAAACACCAATTTTTAAGAGACCACGAAGGAGGAGCCAGAATTAGTGCGACAGATCCAAGTGATTTAGGGGAAACTAGTCATATGAGTCACACTTGAGTCTCTCTCTCTCTCTCTCTCTCTCTCTGTGTCTCTCTTATGCTGAGAAACTAAATATCAACACAACTGAAAATTAATAACTTAGTAAAGAGTCAGCTATTGGTAGATTTGAATACAATTTCAGTGACATTTTAGAAACAAAAAATGCCCAGTGAAATGGCTGGGTGGTCACAGACAGGCAGCTTTTTCAGGGAGTTTATGAAAATGTGAAGAACGGGATGAAACACTTGCTGAACATGTGAAGCTAGGACTCCATCGGGAAATACCAGCCTGCAAAATATTATTAATGGTTTTTCAATGGTGGGCGAGGCGGGGCTGGTTTGGAGGGCCTGGCCTGGATAATTTTGAGAGATAAACCTGTATTGGAACGTAGTGCCTCTTGAATTTTGGCATGAAGGAGTAAAGAAAGACCTAACAGGAAGGCAAGTAGAGTCGTCTATTTCCCGTAAGGACTTATTACTCAATGGCTTCCACTAAGGAAAAAAACTATTCCTCTGAGCCCTCTGGAAGGGCTTTGTGTTTAACATTCCACACCTCACCTCACTCCCTCCCACAGGTTAAGCACATGCTTTGCTTTCCCCCTCCTGGCCTTGAATCTGGTTCTTCTTTTTATTATTATTATTATTATTTATTTTTAAATTTAAATTAGAAACAAGGTTGCTTCACAAGTCAATTCCAGGTCCCTCTCCGTTTCCCTGCTGTCCTCCCGTGCCCTTCCCCCAACCCCACCCAGTATCCCCTCATTTCCTCAGGGAGGGTGAGGCCCTCCATGGGGGTGTCCATAGTCTGTCATTTCATCTGGGGCAGGGCCTAGACCCTCCCCCAAGAGTTCAGGGTGAGAGTTCATCTCACATTGTTGGATGGGAGTCCAAAGTCCATTTGTATACCCAGGATAAATACTGATCTACTGCCCAAGGCTCAATAGATTACCTAAGCCTCCTCACTGACACCCACATTCAGGGGGTCTTGATCAGTCCCATGCTGGATTCCCAGGCTGATGCCTGGGATTCAAGAGCTAACCCTTGTCAGGTCAGCTGTTTCTGGGGGTTAAACCAGCCCAGTTTTAATCCCTTTGGTCATCAGTCCTCCCTCTCTGTTACTGGCTTTCTTGAGTTCAGCTCAGTACTTAACCCAGGGAGTCTGCCTCTTCTTCGATCAGCCACTGAATGAAGTTTCTGTTTCCCAGACTCTCTGGCCATGGGATTGTAGGCTGGCACTCCCCAGATCTATGTCTAAAATCCATATATGAGAGGGTACATGCCATGTTTCTCTTTTTGTGGCTGGGTACATTTACATAATGGAGTACTATTCAGCAGATAAAAACAATGGAATCCTGAGATTTGCAGGCAAATGGATGGCAGTAGAAGAATCTGGTTCTTCTACATAGCTTCCAAATTCCTTTGGCTCCTGAAGAGTTGTGCTCCAAGGTGACCTTTGAGGTTTTTTGTTTGTTTGTTTGTTTTGTTTTGTGTTACATTTTCCAAGTAGAACATCCTCTGCCTGTGACCATGTAGAACCAAGCCTGCATAGCCTTTGGAAAGGGAATTGTTTTTATTTAGTAGCATATCTAGTTTTGTGTGGTTCAGGCCATAACTGAGTAGCTGTATTTTTTTTAACACTGTAGTAGCTTTTAAATGATGGTTAAGCAATATGGATTTTGTATTATGATGAATTAATACAAATTTGTAATTTTGTTCTTTAAACAGGCTGAGAGATTGAATTTTTACCAGAGATTTAGAAAAGACACACACGTAAAAAAGTATAAAACTTGGCAAGCTATAGACTATGTTTCAGAATTGCATAGTTCTCTAGACTAATTTGTTACGATGACTTTCTTATTGACTGCCTTTCTTCTAATGAGTGTGCTTTGTTTTCAAGCTTGTTCAGTGGGTGGCACGCCTCATGCCAGGAAGTGGTTCTTTGCAGTACAAGCACTATGCGGATTTTATCAGGTAATGGCTATTAGTGGATGCCTTTCCCACTAGGAAGAGCTTCCCTAACCCACTTGGTTTAATGCCATTAATGCCATCTTTTTCTTTTTTTTTTTTTTTTTTGGTTTTTCGAGACAGGGTTTCTCTGTATTGTCTTGGAAGCTGTCCTGAAACTCGCTTTGTAGACCAGGCTGGCCTCGAACTCACAGAGATCCACCTGCCTCTGCCTCCCGAGTGCTGGGATTAAAGGTGAGCGCCACCACCGCCCGGCTCTTAATGCCATCTTTTGATTGGTTGGTTTTGTCACAGCTACTGGGAAATGCTATAAATGACTCCACGGCTCTTCTTACACCACCTTCTTCTGTTAGTTTTGTAGTTCTGATTGGCAAGAGATACATCTCGATGCTGAAAAGGATAAGATAGAAGACATTCTTCAAGCAAACATAGAAGAATGTCAGAGGGCTGTTGAGTGTTTGGAAGAAGACGACTGTAACAGCAGGGAGTCCCTGTCCTTGGCTGAGTATGCTTACACGCCTGTGCTGCCTCCAGATATTTCACATTAGTCAGTCCTTTGGAGACAGGACAGCAAAGATGGACTATGTTAACAATTATAGTAGGGGAATTTCATCAACTACAGTACTTAATACTTCATTTTTGGAGGACACTAGGCAGGTCAGCCCTGTTAATCTACTGGATACCTGAAAATGTTATCCAGGTTTGCACAGCTGTTGGTGCGCTGTTTGCACTGGCGTAGCCTTTTCTTGAAGCCAGACTATCACAGCCAGCACTCAGACTGAAGCACATTGTTCTTTCGTTCTCTGTGGCTGATGTGGGATGACTTCTTTTTTCAACTTACGTGCCTCGTCAGCATTTCTGATACTTTTTGTAACTCACTGAGTTTCTGAGGAGTGTCAATGTGACTGACTTACTCCTCGACTCTTGTTAGAATGTGGAAACCGATGCAGGTGCTTGGTTGTGATAATCTCTTTCTTCCTAAGATGTTCCATTTCTCACTCTAGTAAGCCCTTTCGTTTTGGCTTCCATCGTGTGATGGGAAATGCTTTTGTTTTTAGTACTCATATAATATACCTATACGCTGTATGGGCTTTAGGAGTTCCTTCTCCCTGATTTCAGATTGTGCTACTCACTCTGCTTATGACAGAGGTGTAGAAGAGGGAGGAAGTGTGGAATCAGCAGGGGTAGCAAAGTGTTCTCTGGTCCTAGGAGGAAAAGCCGAGGACTCAGCCCATCTGGTCCCGTGTTGACTCATTCGTCAAGTATGATGCAACTTTCATCACCTATAGGTCCTCTCTAAGATGCCTCCACTGAGCCTTAATCAACTCCTGTTTTGCCCCTCAGAAAAACTATGTGGTAGTTTTGCGTGTGGCCTTATTTCCACAAGAGGGAGCCTGAAAACTGTAGTTTAGCACAGGATCCTTTTAAGGTTTTTGTCTTAAGACATTATCACCTTATACAAAAGGATTTAAATACTCTTATCCTGCATAGCAAATTATTCTGAGAGCAAAGTTTCACCATATGAGTAAAATTTATAGGTTTTTTTTTTTTTTTTTAGGAATCTAAGCAAAATGTCATATTCTCGGAGAAGAGTTAGAACTAACTTAGAGAAAAGCAGTGTCCTTTATTAAAAACTTTTGGCTTGCTTTGAATACTAGAAAAGTGTTTGGTCTATAATTTGTATTGAATATATAAATATAACTTAGGGGCTTGTTCCCATTATTATTATCGTTGATTCTGTTTCGTTTTTGGATGTGGGTAAGAGCTTGTCCTTGCTAGCTTCCACAAATAGTAGTTACATAACTTTAGGACACTTATTTAAAGGAGAAATATTAATGTTAATGGTGCATGGGTTTGTCAGCCAAGTCAGCGAAGGTACTGTGTCTACTGTATATGACTGTGTGGCATGTGGATCGTTATTGTATGTTTTGATTATATATTTTGTGAGGGGATATGTGTATGTGTGTTTATGCATACATGCATATATATATGCATGTTTATATAGGGTATTTTTATCTAAATCTATATTTTTATATTTTTGTTGTAGCCTATATGAAGAATCAGCAGAAAATTTGCATCAGTTATCAGACAAGCTTCCTGCCCCTGGTAATACAATAACTGTTTGTGATCATTTGTATTTTCCTATTTTTATGAATGAGTGTTGAATTCAGTGTAATCCTGTAAGTTTCAGGAAGAATAGCTTCTTTAACCTGGATAGTTTGGATCATATTCTTTCATGGTATAGTTTGCATACATATCATCATGGAACATTGTGTAGTAGAACAAAGCTCTTTCTTCAGCATTTTTTTATAGCAACCATTTTTTTCTCCTAAAATGGGAAATATATTTTATGAAATATGATAGTATCTTTAAACTTTTTTTATCCTAACATAGCTTTTCTTTGTATTACTCAGTCATTAGTAAAATTTGATATAAGTTAGTATTCACAAATACTTTTGTAGTTTTATTTCATGAATATCTTCATTATTGAATATCATTTATTGGCCATATGTTTGATGGCTGTATTATATGTCATGCGTTGTTCTAGGTACTGAATATACAGTGGTGTGTAAAGCTAGATAATTATAAAGAATCTCAAAGCTTACAAGGAGGTGATATTTAGAGCCAGATTTTACTGCAGAGTCCTGTATGGAAAATAACTAAGGGTTTGTAGAGATGGCTTGGTGGTTAAGGGCACTGATTGCTCTTGCAGAGGACCTGGGTTCAGTTCCCAGCAACCACATGGCAGCCCACAACCATCTATAACTCTGCATCCAGGATACCCAGCGCCCTCTTCTGGCTTCCAAATGCTTGGAATATGCACACTCATGCAGACAAACATACACATAAAATAAAAATTAAGAAATATTGTAAAAAGAAAATAACAGAATGTACTCACAGATAAACATCTTTTAGCTTTTTCACCCAAGGATTGAATCCAGGGGCCTTGCACATGCTAAGCTACTCCCCAACCTGCCGGGCTTCTTAGTAAAATGTGTCAGACTTGAGGTGTGCACTAGAATATCATACAGTTGCTCTGTGTGTCAAGTTATGTGCCTTTGATTATCAAATTTTTATTTGGTATCCACTTCATTCTAATTTTCCTGATCCCTCAATAAATTTATAATTATAAGACATTTAAACTGGTGTGAGGTAAACCTTCTTTCTCAGACTAATGATGCTAGTGTATTTGGTTATCCTGAATGTTTTATTGTCCTTTAAAAGAAGTGATTTATCTGCGCACTGCAGTTTTATACTCATTCATTCCCTTTTGAATAACAAAATTGAATGTAGTAGAACATAATGAAATTGCCCAGGTTCGCCCCCCCCCCCGCGTTGAGTACAATAGCATTGATGATCTCCAGAGCAATGCATATAATTAACTACTGTTGCAGAATTGACAAGCAATTATGATATAGCTCATTGTTTTCTACCATGTGCTAGCTATTTCCTGATAACATGGTAGGAACTCAAAACGATGAGTGCTTAAAAATTTTGAACTCCTGGAGATGTGTATTGTTTTGAAACACTCCTTTATCTTCTAAATAAGCTCAAAATTCAGTAGAGTGCTCTTTTAAGTCACTTTAGATCTAACATCTTTTAAATTTTTGATTTTTTTCTAGGTAGAGCAATGATAGACATAATCCTATTGCCTTCTGACAAAGATCCTCCTAAATTAAAAGAGTGCTTGCCCGCTGTGGGGGCCTTGAAACATCTGAAGGAATGGCATTCAGCAAAAGTTATCATGGCAGGAAATCACCGGGAGACGTAAGCTCCTTTGGTCGTATGCCATTGTTCTGTTCAGATCTGCGGCTAGGTTTTCAATAGATTGAGCCTTTGAAAATTACTTTAATGTCGCAAGGTAATGTTTTTTGTCACCCTGTGATTAGAGAATTGTACCTTTACTAGAACCTAGATTTTCCTCCTTTCATATTTCCTAGATGTTTAAATAGTTGATAAATCCTATCTGTGCTGACGGATAATCACTATTGAGCGTTGGCTTTTCCAAATTCACTGTGTCCTTTCAGGCAGGCTTTCAATACCCAGTGGGCACCAGGGTGACTATTACTCAGGATTTGTCCTGTTCTGTCTGCTTTCTATGATACACGCCAAGGGAGAAATAAGCATACACAGTTGTGTTTATGACACATTAGTAGAGGTCAATTGCGCATTCCCGTTCTGATTCCAAAGTCAGTACTCAAACTAGATTTATGAACCTCGAGGTTTTTTTTTTAATTTCACAAATCAAGCACTTAACAGGATGGTGACTAAGCCAGGCACAGCAGTAGATTGCCGTTGAGAAAGTGAGACCGCACCAACTCCCGCATGGAAGTGCAGGCAATTGCAGCAGAAATACTAACCGTCAGCATCCTGTAATGAAGTGTTGCCGTGGACTCAGGGTGACAGTTCTGTTTCTGAACCTGAGAGACTGACACTGAGTCTGTGTATGCATCTGATCTAGTTAAGGCAATAACAGGAAAGTTTCTGTTTACATAGGGATGATGACTCTAAATTTATGGAAATGTGACAGCCCTTCCTCAGAGACTAACTTATTGGGTAATTCATATTAGTCTGAAATTGCAGTTACCCCTCCTAGACTGTAGCTAAAATGTAGCCATTGGAAATAAGAAAAATAGAATTAGTGTCATTTCTTTTTCTTTCTTTTTTTTTTTTAACAGAAACTGTCAGAAAATTGCAGAATACCTTTCAGCTAATGTTGTACCTTTAGAAGAGTTCAGAAATGCCATTGACTCAAGGGAATTGTGGAGGGGAGAGATTCAGATACGGGAAAGAAAGGTAAACAGGTTTCTTGCTTTCCCCATATACAATAAAGTAGGCCTTTGGACTGTATTTCCAGTGCATCTGAAGTCGACACCAACGTTCCTCAGGAAGATGTTCTAGAATGACACTAAGTGGAGTTTTTTCCAATGATAGAAATGGTGCGTCTGCTTGGAACAGTGGATTATGAGCAGCATATTGCTACCAAGAGCTGTCTGAGACGTGTTCTACCCTCAGCTGAATGTTTAATTTTATTCAATTGTAATTGGTTATAATTTAGTAGTCACTGTGATTATGTTTTAGCAATTACTGTTTTGTACAGTTTTGTAGTGTGGCATTTTGAAAACAGTATTGGACATTAGTCAACTTCGTATCATCGAACCAAGTCATTTCATTTTATTTCCTGTGTTATCCACTGGAAAAAGTATTGGGACCAGCTACCTATAGTATGCTTAGGTGATCTCTGCTGTATACAAACCAGCTAACCTGAACAGTGCTTTAAAAGTTTTACTAGACCCTAGATATATCAACTGTGTGATGAAAATTGTCACTTAGATTTCTTTACTCACTCCCAAATTTCTGAGGTGATTGTTGGTGATTCTTATAAGTTGTATCTATCTTGAAATGTGGTCATATTAATTCATGTAAGCTTTATAGATAGGAAAATTAAGAGAATTTCTTAATGCCTGTTCAGGATAGTGTGTCACCATGAATGGGCTCTTGCATTCCCTTTGGCTTTATGTTTGTTGTTTGTTTTTGTACTTTTTTCTTCCTTTATCTTTCCTATTGTCTTAATGAAATGTCCAGTAAGACAGTAAGAATAATGAGTCTATCTAGGTGAACATACTGGCCCATACTAGTTTTAGGAAGGTTCAGTTTTAGGGAAACTTTCTGCAAATGGTGTTACTAGGAATAAACAAACAAACAAACACACAAATCAATCAATCAATCAATCAATCAATCAGTCAATCAGCATTCAGCCAAAGTGGAAGAGTTGACCATGGGTAGGAGAATTGCCTTTGTTTTCATTTTCTCAAGTCACGTGCTTACGTGTAGGCAGATCATGCCAGGGTTGTTCTCACGTGATTCTTTTCTTCCTTTTGTGTGAAATAAGCACTCGTTATTCTACTCTCAAACTTGGTGTCACTTCATAGCTTTCAACCAGCTGTCATATGTTTGTAGACTTTGGAGTTATAATGCCTGTACTCACATCCTAATGTGGTTCCAGTTTTGTGTGACATCTTGATACCATAGTTGTGTTTTCCCTAAGACAGGGATGATAACAATAAGAATCATAAGGTTTGTTTGAGTTATATCATTTAGAGTACAAAATAATGACACAGTCCTAGCTGTCAGTATTGTCACATCTTTACTGTTAACAGCAGGAATGTCACAACGTCTGTGGTAACTGCATTTTTCATCACCCACATGCTTTGGAGGTGAACCCTGTGAGGCACTGATCTAAGTACCTAGTACCTGTGTGCTAAGTACCTAGTAGTGAAGAACACAGGCAGCTTCTATCTGGCCGTATCTTACAGACTGGTAGGAAGCCAGGCATTGAATGTTTACTGGGGCAGTTGTGATTGGTTGGTCAAGCGGCTTCCTGCAACAACTAGCATACTGTTGCCAACTAACCAGAGGTCATGGAAAGGTTTTTTATGAAAGCTGATGTTCAAGCTGATAGAATGATGTGTACCTAATAGGAAGAACTAACCCTTCTACTCCATGTATCAAAAGAAAACAGAAAAAAAGAAAATTCACATTCATATGTTTTATATTTAGATAAGGTCAGCTTCTCCTCAATATTTTCATTCTAATACAGTATATTAATTTTTATTCATAACACCTGTAACTAAGTTCTCTTGGTTTCTTTTCAGTTTGGAGTTGAAATTAGTTTTCCTGAATTTTGTTTAAAGGGAATTACACCTATGAATGTTAGTGCATATAATTTAAATACCTGCTTTCTTGCAAAAAAGATGGAACCCTCGAAAGATAAGAATATTCTGCCTAAGGTAATTGTATGTACATTTAATTTCTCCTCCTAGCGTCTGTTTGTGTAGTTTTGGTCTATAAAATACCTTTAACTCTTGCCTTGCTATTTATTACTAATATGCATGGTGTATTCATTGGTATAGCTCATATAACTTATAATTGAGGGCTTTTGAGATGAGTACAACTACGTGTTGGTACTTATTGCTACAGAGAGGTATTTTGATTTTTTTTAAGTGGTAGTAATTTTAAGTCACTATATGCCTGAATTGGACTTGAATTGGAGTTTCCTATGCTACCCTTTTAAGATCAGTGAAAAGCTAGATGTCTAGATGCTAAAAGTTAGATAAAGGCCTGAATTTGGAACTAGACTCTGTCACCTGCTATAGATTAGATACAACCTTGACTATGTTGATAAGTCTTGTGAATGAGTACAACACCATCTTACAAGGTTACTATGAAAACTAAATGAGGTAAGTGATTGGCATCTGATGCAGAGCCTAGCATAGACTTAACCTGTGGTATCAGACATGCTAATTCTCTTCTCGTGTCTTCTATAGATTTGTTCTTTAAATGCAAGCAGATATAAGATATAATAATTAGAAGAGTACAGCTAGTCTTTTTAATATTGAAAAGCAGCATGAGAGGAGGTCCTTTCCGAAAAATGATGAAATCCATCCTAAAATACCCAGTAAAACACAGAGGTCCTGAAATTATAGGATGTCAAATGATGCTTAATACTTTCTGACAGAAGGGCAGTAGGAAGAAAGGATGTCAGTCCTTTCTGCTGTAAATTCATTTTCCAATGTAATTTATAATTACTTAGTGTAAGCAGCTTACCATGTTTGTCATTCAGAAGGTTTTTCAGTCCTTAAACCTTACACTTAGAAGAGTTAGTGACTTCAGATTCTCTTCTTTGGCAGTGAAGTGTTCAAGTATAATAATCTTTTGTTGTTGTTGTTGTTTGTTTGTTTTTTGTTTTTCAAGATAGGGCTTATCTATTGCTTTGGAGCCTGTCCTGGAACTTATTCTGTAGACCAGGCTGGCCTTGAACTCACAGAGATCCGCCAGCCTGTGCCTTTGAGTGCCGAGATTAAAGGCGTGGGCCACCACCGCCTGACTCTAAATATTTTTTTTTGTTTTGTTTTGCTTCTATTGAGTATAATCTTCAGGGTCAACCTTTTTAATGAATTAAAGTAAAATTAATTAAGATAAATATTTCTGCCCTGTATTAGTTACTTTTCTATTGCTGTGATAAAGCACCATGATCAAGACAACTTATAGGAAAACTAGTTTACTTGGGCTTTTGGTTCCAGAGGGCTAGATCCATGATGGTGAAGTACCAAACAAAGAGAGTGAAAACAAGCCCTCCTCCAGGGACAAACCTCATCCAACAATCTGTACCTCTTAAGCTTCCCCAAACAGAGCCAGCAACTGGGAACCAAGTCTTCAAATGCCCAGACTTTAGGGGGCATCTCATTCAGACATATACATGCATGGGGGAATGGGGAGAGAGAGGCAGGGTGGGAAAACTAAAACTGGTTTTCCTGTGGATGTCTTTCCTTTGTATTTCCTGTGTGGCTTTCAAACTAATAGTCACTAATTTGTTTGCTTCCATTTCATTTACAGCATCTAAAGTGTTACACAATTTGAGCTTCTTTTCCAGGTTTTTCATTATTATGGCCCTGCCCTAGAATTTGTGCAGATGATAAAATTATCAGATCTTCCCTCCTGCTACATGTCTGACATCGAATTCGAGCTGTATCCTTTTATTGACATGTTCATCTTATTTCGCATTCTCTGGGTCGGGTAGAATGCTTGGTACCAGCAGGTAATTGTGTTAGGTTTACATTTGTTTTCATTACATGGTATTTATCGTTTAGTGCCCATGCCCGAGTCAGAGTTCTACCAAAGCGCTCCTGGGGAAGGGAGTTCCTGCTTTCTCCACATTCTGCCAGAAGCCTTCTCCCCTTCTACAAGCAGCTTTTACTTCATGGTTGACACTCACTGTGGGCAGGGTTATGGAAGTAATCCAGAAGTGACCGAGCCTTGCTTCTTCGGTGCAGTTACGATGCTCTGCGCCTGAGCGCAGGTCAAGTCCACACCCAGCGAGCCGTTGATTGGACTCTCTTTCCCATGTCTTCATACACCCACATGCATATCTCATCGCTTTGCTTTGCTTGCTGTCATTTTATTTAGTTCTAGATGTCTTTTAAGAATAACTTCCCTTCTTCTGGAATCCAAGATGCCTCTCCGTGACCTCTGCTATTTTCTTGATACTATTGTTCTGCTAAAGAAGGATTGTGGTGTGTGTAGCCATAACTGAGCTCCTCCTACTCCAGGGAGACCTACACTTTTCTCCCAATTCCTAAGTTGGGTTGCTAAAAGATCTTATTTGCAAAAACCTTAAAGAGGTCAGAAAAGCACACATTAAGCCATTTCTGTGATTTCACTCCACATTTAGGTGTTGGGTCATGCCCTAAAATAATTCATTATATGCCCTAAGGTAATTAAGTATATGTTTACTGGATGTGGTTTTAAGACTAGTTTTATAATTTATTCCCCCACCCCTTCCCCATGCCCATGCCTCAAGTACTGTTAATGCTTCTAGAATAGGCATAAGGCTTCCTCCAGTTTGACTCCTTGTTGCTGATGGGCATCAGTGAAGAGCGTTAGGGATATGTGAGGAACACAGAGTGGGTTATGCACACTTCTGACTTGCTCACAGGTTTCTCTTGCCATCAGTATGGTGGATGTATGAACACTAGTTGCGTGATTACATCTTTCTGTACTTAAGTAGCTGTAAATGGCACCATGTGTATCTGAAATATTCAGACTGTGTTTGGGGTGGATCACTTGTGTATAGGTCAGAGGCCAGCTAGCAGGGGTTACTGGTCTCTTTCCACCATGTGGATTGCAGAGGGACAGACACCTTCGCCCCATGGGCCACTTCACCAGCCCAGAACAGATGTTTTATGTTACATAATTGCTGGTTTGGAATGGAGCACTAACATAACACTCTTCAATTTTTTAATGTACATATTTTTACTCCTTTCTTGTTTTTGTAGTTTATCATAATGATAATCAGGACAAATAATCAAGAAAATAATGTGTAAGGGAAAGAGTAATTGGCAATTCTTATACTTAAGCTTAATGAATGATTTTTAGTGAATTATGGGAGAGTGAAATAATCAAGCTTGTTTTTCCAAGTCGAGTTATTTCCAGGTTACTATTCTCTCATTCCTTAACTCCTTAGTACAGAGAGGTGACCGGAAACTGCAAGAGGCAGAATTCCAGGCTGCTGTTGGAACAGCTCTCTTCTCTGTGTGGCAAGGTATAGAAGGCTTTTGTAATTTGTATTTTAATGCGTAAGGACATGATGAAAACAAAAAAAAGTAAATAGAGCTCTTGGTCATAAATTTGGTTTCTTAATCTAACGTAATTCATGTTAAGATACTGCTTAAGTGTTTTGTGGGCAAAGTGGTATTTGATTTTATAGGAGACTTTCAGAAATAAACCTTATGAGCAATGATTTTAAGAGTTATTTTAAACTGTAGAATGCATCATTAATCTCCTCTTTAGTGATATCTCATTCCAGCTCTAGGAAGACATTTGTATGCCTGTGTTGTCTTTTCATGGTAGGGCAGGAGGTGGAAATGTGACAACTTAAAACATCATTGGAGGCTGTTTTTTTAATGTTAAAAATTACTTCTATATTCCAGTACTACGAGATTTGTAGCTATTTTAATAGCTACATATGTATATCATACAATAAATTTGATGTCTTTCGAACATTTTTTTAAACAACTATAAAAATACAGAACCCTAAGTAGAATCCCATGCCTAAAGTCCTGTATCATTTTTAAGAAGAAAAAGGTTTTATTTCCTTTGGGAAGTCTTGTCAACTATTGCATTTTTAAAGCAGGAAATATGTGTTGGCTATCTTTATATAACATTTCTTACTCCTGTAGTACCAGCTCATTAACAGATGCTCCTGAGAGGAGATAGTGATTGGTGTAATTTTAGCTGTTCTCCCATGGTGTTATAATTAGACCTTGGTTGTGATTCCCTTAGAAAACTGATACTGTAAAGTAAATGTGATTTTGCTTGTAGGATACCTGCATATGTGATCACTTAGAATTCTGGAGATTCCGGTTCCATTTCCTATATGTTTAATAGCGTTTTGGATAGTGTGTCAAAGTGTTATTGATGAACTGGCCTTTGATGATACCAAGTTTAAGTCACATGTATACCCGTGATTTGTTCAGTGCAGATATGAGATAATCTTTAGTCTATCTAGTTATTGAAGATAATGCTTATTCCCGAAGTGAATAAAGTTATTTAGTATCTCGTGTGCATCCATTTTGTTTTAAACTTGCTTTTGGGCCCATGGCTGTAAACCGTCAGTGTATATAATGCACAGGTAAGGAGTATGAGGCCTAAGCTTCTTTCTGTATGCAGCAGAGGGGTTGTGTATGCAAACAGGTGCTGTCCTAGTCAGGGGTGCTTAGGCTGTGATCAAACACCATGATGAGAGCAAGAGGGGGAGGTATTTGACTCACACTTCCATCCATCATTGAAAGAAGTCAGGACAGGAACGCAGACAGAGCACGAACCTGGAGGCAGGAGCTGATGCAGAGGTCATGGAGGGGTGCTGCTTACTGGCTTGTTCATCATGGCTTGCTCAGCCTGCTTTGTTAGAGAACTCAGGACCTCCAGCCCAGGGATGGCACTGTCCACCATGAACTGGACTCTCCCCCATTGGTCACTAAGAAAATGCCTTATAGATGATCTCATGGAGGCATTTTCCTAATTGAGGCTCCTTCCTCTCTGATGACTCTAGCTTGTGTCAAGTTGATGGAAAACTAGCTAGCACAGATGTCCTGTGACTTACATACAAAGTCCTGAATTTGAAGCTATTTATTTACATTGGATTATAACTTGTCTTTACATTTTCTTTTAAAAAGTAATTGAATAGCTGATTCTTCCTTGAAGTTGAGTGCTATATGTGTAGCCTTTTTAAAAATTAATTTTACTAAAATGCTTTTGTTTATTATATAAGAAGTTGATTTCATTGTGACATTTTCATAATGTATGTGGTTATACTTTGTTGTCATTGGAGAATTGTCTGTTTTGTTGTTGTTTATCCCTCCAAAAAATATTTTGCCCGGCTACATGTCAAATGATTGTTCAGATACTGAAGACAGCAGGTAGACAAGACCTTTCCTTGGTGCTTCAGTAATCTACGTGATCATCAAGAAATGTCTCCGTTTAGTATTATCCCTCATCTATCTTTCTCCTTGATTAGCCCTAAGTAGACAGGAACTTTTCTTGTAGTGAAGCCTTTTTTCGTAGACTACACAAGGATATTAGGGAATCTGATAGTACTATTTATTCCATGGTTAGGAAATGCTGTTTTTAAGGGGAATTTCCAAAGTTTGAAGTCTGAGTTCACCAGTGGTATCTTATTAGAAAGAACCTGGTGCAAAGATCAGATCAAGGTTTGAAAGTGAGGTTTGAAATGCACTTCTGGCCTTTCGGAGTCTCAAAGGTAACCCAGTGGCATGATCCTCAAGTATCAAGAAGTTGTCTGAGGGTTAGTGCGTGGAGGAGAGTAAATGATCAGAATCCAAGTCTGTTATGATGAGTGTAAGCAACGGACATGCTTATTTTATGGGAAATTAAACTTGGGAGATTCAGAAATGTTTGTTTCCATCTTTGAGTTAAATATTTGTAGCAAATGTTTACTCACAATTAGACTGTCTCAAAACTGGGACAGTGGCAGTGGGTCATGATTCAGTATGTTAGTCATGTGTAGAACGGCATTCAGCATCAACGGGCAGCAGTAAGTGAGAACTTCCATGGCATGCTCACCTCACTGGCGTATAATTCAGTATGTTAGTCATGTGTAGAACGGCATTCAGCATCAATGGGAGCAGTAAGTGAGAACTTCCGTGGTATGCTCACATCACTGGTGTATAATTCAGTATGTTAGTCATGTATAGAATGGCATTCAGCATCAATGGACAGCAGTAAGTGAGAATTCCATGGTATGCTCACATCACTGGTGTATAATTCAGTATGTTAGTCATGTATAGAATGGCATTCAGCATCAAGGGACAGCAGTAAGTGAGAATTCCGTGGCATGCTCACCTCACTGGCGTCAGCCCCTTCCACCACACAGCCGTGGTGGCTCTTCTGCCTTGGTCTGTGTTTTGGGCAACGATGTCATGTTTATGAAAGGACTGAGTTTTAATATTTAGAGAATTAGATTTGTCTCTTCTATTAAATGATTATCTTCCATCATTAAATAGCTTTACTTCTAATCGCTAATATTTGCCTGTGTAAAAGACACTTTTAAAAAGTTTTTCCTATAATAATGAAGACAAACACTTCTTTCCTTAATTTTATATCTGTAATTAAGGATGCATAAGTAAAAATAATAAATAGCAACAGAACTAACATTGTAAAATGCTAATTCAGTATCACGTATTCATGCAACTAATCCATTTACATGGGGCAATTAAAAACAGATTTTCATTAGATTTAAGATATTTGACTAATGCTTTGCCTAAACTTCTCCAGAGTTTTTTAAAATTAATGTTCTTTATTGGAATGTATTGATTGATGAAACTACATTTCTAAAATAGGCAATATAACTTCCAAAGTTGTAATTTGTTTTATTTAGTCCTTAATCAAAGTGAGAATTTAGATAAATACATCATAGTGATTCTTTTGAGCAAGTATCTAATAAACATCTGTATGCTTAGCCTGAGAATTACAAATATGAAGTTGAATTTGCTTAAACATCAGTTGAACTACTGTATGTTTTCAGGGAAGGGTTTAATTTGTTATCTTCTGCATCTTACCTACTAGCATTAAATCTCTAGTTTTTAGGAATGAAAGCTTCTTTATTGCCTTTGAATGTATTATAATTCTTTTTATGATTTATTTATTTTTTACATTTCAATCCCAGTTCCTCTTCCCTCCTCTCCTCCCATTCTCCCCCCTCCTCCCACTCCACCTCCTATCTTTTCCTCGGAGAGGGTGAGGCCTCCCCTAGGAAGTCTACTAAGTCAGTCCCATCTTCTGGTTGAGGCAGGACCAAGGCATCTCTCTACCCCCAAGCCCCTGTGTCTAGGCTGAGCAAGGTATCTCTCCATCTAGAATGTGCTCCACTAAGTCAATTTGTGCATTAAAGTTAGATCTTGAACTCATTGCCAGTGGCCTCATATTGTCCCAGTCACACCATTGTCACCTATATTAAGGGAGTCTAGTTCAATCTTATTCTGGTTCCCCATTTGTCAGACCTGAGTCAGTGATCTCTCACTAGGTTGGGTCAGCTGACTCTGTGGGTTTCCTCATCATGGTCTTGACTCCTTTGTTCATATTATTGCTCCTCCCTCACTTCGATTGTACTCCAGGAGCTTGGTCCATTGGTTAGTTGATGGGGAAGTCATGTGTATATGTCAATAAAGCACTGTTGGCCAATAGGGAAGCAAGATAGGTAGGACTAGGAGTCCAGGAGGACTCTGGGTAGGAGAAACACAGGGAGTCAAGATGTAACCGCCATAGGGATAAGAAGCTCGGAAACTTCTCCAGTAAGAGAAATACTTAGATTAGCAATTATGAGATAAATACTTAAGTCAGAGCTAGCCAGTAAGAAACAATCAAGGCCAACAGCTTCATAATTAATATAGCCTCCTGTGTGTTATTTGGGGACTACAACGCAGCAGAGCCCAGGCGACTGGCTGGGGGGGGGAGGGGGGACACCAAGCGGCAGAAAAGGAAAAGGCATCTCTTTACAGTTAGTTGTGGATTTCTATATCTGCTTGTATTTCTGGAAGAGGGTTCTAGCTTCTCTGGGGTTGTGGATTGTAGGCTGGGTATCTTTTGCTTTGTCTGGTATCCACTTATGAGTGAGTACATACTATATTTATCTTTCTGGTTCTGGGTTACCTCACTCAGAATGTTTTTTTTTCTAGTTCTGCCCATTTACCTACTGAGTAGTACTCCATCCTGTAAATGTACCACATTTTCTTTATCCATTCTTCAACTGAGGGACATGTAGGCTGTTTCCAAGGTTAGGTTGATCCCTAATTTTCTGGAAATCTCCATACTGATTTCCACAGCAGCTGTAAAAGTTTCCACTCCCTCCAACAATGGAGGAGTGTTCCCCTTTCTCCACATCCTCTCCAACATAAGCTGTCATTGGTATTTTTTATCTTAGCCATTCTGATTATTTTAAGATGGAATCTCAGAGTGGTTTGGATTTGCATTTCTCTGATGGCTAAGGATTCTGAGCATTTCCTTAAGTGTCTTTCTGCCATTTGAGATGGTTCTGTTGAGAATTCTCTATTTAGATCTGTACCCCCATTTTAAATTGTATTATTTGGTAGTTTGTTGTCTAGTTTCCTGAGTTCTTTGTATATTTTGGAGATAAGCCCTCTGTCAGATGTGGGGTTGGTGAAGATCTTTTCCCATTCTGTAGGGAGCCATTTGGTCTTGTTGACTGTGTCCTTTCTTTACAGAAGCATCTTGGTTTCAGGCGGTCCCATTTATTGTCAATCTCTGTGTCTGTGCTACTGGTGTTTTATTTAGAAACTTGTCTCCTGGGCCTATGTGTTCACATATTTCCCACTTTTCTTCTATGGTTTCACTGTGGATGGATTTATATTGAGGTCTTTGATCCATGAGGTTTTGTGCTTGGGAATAGATATACATCCTTTTGCATTCTGCATATTGACAGCCAGTTATACCAGCACCGTTTGTTGAATATGTTTTCTTTTATCCATTTTGTATTTTAGCTTCCTTGTCAAAAATTAGGTATTCATAGATGTGTGGGTAGCCACAAATAACATAAAGTATCTTGGGGTAACTCTAACCTAAGAACTTCAAGTCTTTAAAAAAGAAATTAAAGAAGATATCAGAAAATGGAAAGATTTGCCATGCTCTTGTATAGGTAGGATCAACATAGGGAAAATGACATTCCTATCAAAATTAATCTACAGATTCATTGCAATCCCCATCAAAATCCCAGCACTGTTCTTCATAGACCTTGAAAGAACAAAACCCAACTTCATATGGAAAACAAAAAAACCCCAGGGTAGCCAAAACAATCCTGTACTACAAAGGATCAGTTGGAAGCCTCACTGTTCCTGACCTGAAACTCTATTATAGAGCTTAGTAATGAAAACAGCTTGATATTGGTATAAAAACATACAGGTGGACTAGTGAAATCGTATCGGATGTATTATAATTTTTAAGCCACAAAAATAATCAGTACAGTTAAAGTTTTAAAAATTAGGGCACCACTCATTTTTGATACTGGGTCTCTCAGTTGCTCATCATTTTGCAGATGTGCAAAGAAATCCTACCAATAACCTGAATGTACAAAAAATAAGAATAACAAAATGTCTTTGTTACTTTTTCTGCTGCTATGGTAAATATTCTGACAGATACACCTTAAGGGAGGAAGGGTTTATTTGTCTCACAGTCCAAGGGTTCAGTCCATCATGATGGGGAAGTTAAGGCGCCAGATCAGGTTACATGTAGAATAAGGAACAGGAGAACAATGACTGCTCATTCTCAGAATCATTTCCCAGTGCATGCAGACCTGGACCCAAGCCCAGGCAGCGATGCCACGCACTTTTCGGGAAAGTCTTTCCATTTCTTTACCCTGATTAAGGTAACCCCCACAGGCCTACCTCCATGCTAGCCTATTCTAATATAGCGCCTGGAGATTTCATTGGAGTGCTTGAGAGAGCATAACTCAGTAATGGTTAAATTTGTGAGATGAATTTCCCACGACATTTGTCAGCGGTGAATTTCAGTGTGCAGGCTGTAATAATGTGCCATGTGCTTTCTGCAGGTTGGCGCTCTTTTTGTATTGCCATGCACCGTTAGTAACATACTTGTTCCACCTCCCAGCCAACTGGCTTCACGAAAGTGGAAGGAATACATCGCCAAAAAGCCCAAGACAATTAGTGGTAAGTACTAAGTCTTTCGGCTGTTTTATTGGTACATTATTAAATGTGAAGTGGAAGTAATCTTTATTGGAAAGTACTGTTTGATACCTCTAACCGTGTTCATTAAAAAGGGCAATACTCTAAAGACAGACCTTGGGTTAGTTGGGTAGCTACTTATTGAATATTGGATTCTTAGAGACATCTCAAGAACAAAATAGGTAAAGATAAAATGGTTCATTTATTGTATGAGCCTGTATGTATAATTTTCTAAAGACACTAAAACTTAATTATTTAACAGGTTACTTCTGCCACATAGCATCATAGGTATTTTAGCAATACAACTTTTTAAATAGATTTATTTGTTTATTATGTATACAGTGTTCCGTCTGCATCCGTGCCTGCATACCAAAAGAGGACATCGGTTCTCATTATAGCCAGTTGTACGCTGCAATGTGGTTGCTGGGAATTGAACTCTAGATCTCTGGATGAACAGCCAGTGCTCTTAACCACTGAGCTATCTCTTCAGCCTAAGACTTTCATCATAACTCTGTACATTGGCTTATCTTCATAATGGCATTGGTGCTTAGAGCATGTAGATTGCAGGTAACTGACGGAATCTTGGTATGAGATCTGGCCCTGCCCATCACTTGTGGTGTTGCTTTCCCCAAGCACTTATACCCCTAGTAATTTAGGATGTTTTATGTAGGGGGCACAGAGATCCTTGTGCTCACAGCTAAGCAATAGAGAAACCTGGAATGTTGCAGGGTTGCTGCTTTAATAGGAAGAGATGTATACCAGTTTTCCACCCAGAAGATTGGGAGCAGCGGTGGTTAATAGCCTGGGGGCCTTTGCACTATCTATGCCTGAGACCACAGCAGATCTTCCCCCAGACACTTAAGATGTCACATATAGTCAATCTATAGAACCCATCTTTCGGGAAGAGGTCACATACACGTTACAAAGAGTTTCAATGTCATCATGTTTTAACCTTTATTTATTTATTTATTGTACACATGGGACTCAGTTAATTACCACTAGCAAACTTGTTCTCCAAATTGTGCTATACTTAAATATGCCTAAAACAAACTACTGAGTGTTATACTGTACAAGTTCGCACCAACACCAGCTACTGAGTCATGTTGAACTTCCTTCTTGTCTCGTTGGATCTGTTCTCTATTGGCCGCGGTGTTTGCGAAGACCTCCACAGTTCATGGTATTAGTAGAGCCTGTCGCAAGATGCTAGAACATGAGTGAATGCAGATTTAGCCTGCCTCAGCTGCTCACTGGGAATGAATACAGATGTGTTTTTAAAGGTTCTTCAACATCAGATTTACAGAGCAGCAGTACAGTCAAGTTTCCCTCACGCTGCATGAAGTCCTGGGAAACTGTTGTTTCTCAGTACTTATATGTGTCTACGACTAAAATATATATTGAACATTTGCATCACTTAACTAAACTGAATATGTCCAGGGTAGCTCATCACTGCTTGCTTTTCTTCTTGTAACTCTTTACAAGTTTAAGAAGCTTCTAAAATGAAAATTCTAATTCTAAGGTCATTTATTGATTGAGAGTTTACTCAGGTTTTTGTTTGTTTGTGTCTCACATAATTTTTTTTGTAATTAAGAAAATACCTTGTAGTTTGGTTTCAGGTGTTACAATCACTGCCCCTTGAAACTTAGGGATGAACAGTAGGAACCTCTGAATAATGACATAGATCACACGAGACTGCTGGGAGGTTGTTGATCACTGATTAGTCCACTGATTAGTCCAGGTCATTAGCACTGATTAAACTTGTCCCTTGCAGGAGTTTTTCTTTTAATCTAAGAAGAAACAAAATCAGACAGGATAGTTGATTAAGGTCTGTCCTAGCTTATGACCCTGCCTGAAGGGGACATTTGTTACTTATTCCATTGGCAAAACAGAGAAGCCAGGTTTGAGACAGACAGAGAGAGAGAGAGACAGAGACAGAGACAGAGAGAGACACAGAGAGAGAGACAGAGACAGAGAGAAATTAGTTTCAGTAACTCTTGGATCCAGAAAACTTCATACCCCTGCACTTACATCACTAACAGTAGCTTCTCTCAATGGCCCAGATTAACTCTTAGGTCATCCCCAAATCATAAATATGTTTCTTCATTATTATTCTCGAAATCTCTGAATTAAGGCTTATCCTGTTTCCCAAAACAATTTCCTGATTGTATTTCTTTGTGACTTTGTCAGTCATTCTATTTAATTAACGAATCTAGCCAGCCAGTTAAACATTCTTTGATTCATTTACCAGAACATCGAATGGATACTGTCTGCTGGATGCAGTACAGTAATTTGGGGGGTTGTTCACTGTTTTCATGCTGTTACATAGAATGTAAGTGTTGAGACGTAATTGTTAGCCCTACTATTTGTGTTCAGTAAGAGTTGACTGGGAACAATCCTGAAGACACTGCATGAAAAAAGCAAGGTATGCAATGATTGGATTGTTTATGGTAAAACGAATACCTTAACATGTGTGTTCAACATTTCTACATACTTGTATTATTTATGTTTTTGACAGACACTTTAATTGAGTATCTATGGCTTATGAGGACTGTTTGTATGCTTGACCTGCATTGAACAAAATCTTGATGCTTACATTGTAGAAGAGATAAGACCGCTAGCTCTTAACCCCAAATTGTCTCATTGCTAATCGCCTTAATGTTGCTCGCCTTCTCTCCTACGCTGTTTTCTCGGTCAGGATCAGTTTTGCCTGGCACCAATGGTTGCCAGCCGACTCTCTGCATACCCATCCTTGCAGCTGTGCTGTTTATCCTTGCTGCTTCCTGCCGTTTAATATTGTGGATTTGTCTCTGGCTGACACTTACAAGTACTTAGAAATATTTGTTAGACTGTAAGTGGGTTATGCATTTCCACATAGTAATAGCTGCCGTCTCAACAACAACAACAAAGTGAACCTGGCCTCACTCATGAACCAGGAGCCAGAATACGTGCGTTACTTGTTATCAGCTCCTCAGGTTTCTTTCCCTGTAAAGCACATGTATGTTTTTCCTTATCTACAGATGCAGGTGCTTTTATAGATGAAAAGTTCTTAAGGAGCAGCAAAGCCCCATGGTGGGAACTAGGATGTCTTCAGTTTGAAATGGGCTTTAAAGTCTAGTAGCAAAGAACGCTTTCAGTAAGCAGATCGCTTGAGAATCATGCTATGGACAAAGCTGGGAAAGACTTGCATAAACTAATGAAATTATCAACCCTGGAAAGAGATTTCTTTATATACAGTTTACACGAAAGACCAGCTGTGTAATGAAAAGTGCCCAGGTTTTCATGGAGACATGTTATATAATTGTTAAAAAAATCCAGTGATCATCATGTTGTCATAGAGATGAGATAAACATTGTTGTCTGTCACTGTTGGAGACCTACTGTGTGCCCCACACATTGCGCTTATTATCTTTGCTTTTTAGAATATTGGAAAGTGATTTTAAAAAATGAACTTCTTTGTTGCAATGACAGAATTTAAATATCTAGAAATCATGAAGCTTGTCTCTCATCACAGGGTGGAAGCTCCCAATCTGAATTCTTCTAAAGACCTCCACAGCCTCCTTTGTCAGAGACTCTGCAGAAAGGGATTTTTACAACTTAAGTCTTTTGTATTGCTTCCTTGACATTTAGGGAAGTCATTCATGCTTAGGTAGCAAAATAGTAATGTCTTGATTATTTTAGAACTTGAGATGTCTGATAATGTTAACAATTAGAAATTTGTGTTGCTTCGTTTATGCAAACCCAGAATTCTATTGAAAGAAAAAGCCAGTAATGCTTTGCATGCAAAGCCTTTTATTGTAGAGAAATCTAGTAGCATTTTAAAGGTAATAGGCTAATAGAGACTGGTGATGTGTCTTGAAATGGTGACATATATGCCTTCCTCAAATTTAAGTAGCATGATGACATGTTTCAAAATAGTGGGCTCAAATGGACAAGGTTAAAATATGTCACACAACTGACTTGTAAATCTTATCCATTTGAGAAATAAAATCTAGTAGTGATTTTGAAAATAAATTTTAGTGGAAGCGACAAGATATTCTTTCAGTCAGGAATATTCTTCAGGATGGGTCATAGTATATGCTACATAATGAAATAAGTCAAAAAATTCAAAGGTATAACTGTCTTGTATATTCTTGAGTCACAGTGGAATTAAAGTTAGAAATCAACAACAAAAAACTGAGGAGCCCCTGAAGCATTTGGAAATAAACATATTCCTAAGTATCTTAAAGATTAAGGAAATTAGAAAATAGTTAAGTTTTTTAAACTGTATCTGTGTGTGTGTGTGTGTGTGTGTGTGTGTGTGTGTGTGTGTGTGTGTGTGTGTGTGTGTCAAACTCTGGGCTCAGCGGGAGACCCTGATGCAATATGTAAGTGGAGATCACTCAAAGAAGATACCTGATGTCAGCTTTGGCCTTCATATACCTGTACACACATGGAACACATGCAATTAATAAATAATAAATAAATAAAAAGCTTATACCACCTGAATTCATAGACATTTACTTTTTGTAAAAATTATCTTTAAATGGATCACATATCCAAATTTAAGAACTAAAGTTGTAAAATTTGTACAAACTAACAGATACCAAATAGAGCACACACATTGCCTAAAATGGAAAAGTAAATCTATAAGATGTGAGCTTGGCTAAGAAAGCTCAAGGAAGGCTGCTCAGTGTCCTCAGTCATTGGAGAAATGCAATGACAGCCAGCATGGGATGTCACCAGACACTCATTAGAACAGTTGTAGTTGAATCCCATGACTGGCGTGCTGAGCATATAGCAAATCTCACATTCCGTTCCTAGCTATCTACCAAGGAGAAAAGAGGATGTATTTTCCACATAAGATTTGTGAGCAAATGTTAAAAAAAAAAATAGACATAGACAAAAGCTCCTCTCAGCCTTAGAGAAGCATCTATTTTCAGTGCTCAGTGCTTAATGCACAACTCATGGCTGCCTAAGAGAATCGGTGATGGATAAGAGCTTGGTCCTATATGAACCAATTACTGCCCTCTCCATGGCAGGGAAAATCATGGGAAAGTAGACAGAAAGCATGTTAAAGCTGAGAGATAGAGAGGCAGAGGAACCCTGGAGAAACAACATCACAAACTCACAGCACTTGCAATTGTGCTTGGCTCACACAACACAAGCCCTCAACATTCAGTCATGTGTGGGGAAGCAGGATCATTGAACCCTACCATTGCCGACCAACTTTGGCCACTGATGGAGTCTAGATGGGGAGCCAGTGACTTGGTCTAATCTAGAGACCATGCTGATGACTGGGGACCAAAAAAATAAATAAATACATAAATACATAAAAACATCAAATGTGGGGAAGAGTTGAATAGGGAAGGGAAGCAGTGGGGGATGGGAGGGAAAGGGAGAAACATGCATCTCCCCCTTCCCCCCCAGTGCTGGGATTGCAGGCACGTGCTGTTACTGCACACGTGGTTTTTTGATTGTTTGTGTTTTGTAAGTCTCACTAAAGTCCCCTTATTGTTTGTTTGTTTTGTAAGGCTCACTGAAGTCCCCTTAGAAGTGAATGTAGAGCTATGTCCTCTGTAGTTCAGTGATTCCTAGCACCAGCTAAATGTTAGAAAAGTTGTCAAGCGAGGGGAGCTGGGCTGCACCCAAGAACACCCCAGTGTCAGCTGCCAGGCCACCACTCTTGTAAAAGCACCTGGGGAGGTTCATATGCGATCCTCCACCCTGGGTTGCATACATGCTTCAGCCCCAGCCGGGAGTCTCAGTTACTGAGGAGAAGCACTCCAGTGTTCCAGTGAGAATGGAGAAGCTGAGACTCAACCCTTACCTGGAGGAAGATAACAGTTCCTGAGTGGTAAGTGGTTCTCAAACTTGAGTCTCACTGGTAATGAGGATAAAGACTTTGTAAGCCCTGCAATATCCTTTTCTACTTTGTAGGAGCTAACTTGTTTCCTGCGTCTGTGCAACAATAAGGAAGTCATTGTTCATAATTGGAGGCCCTGGGATAGCCTCTGAATAGAGTTTCTATTCATTGTTCCTTTCAAATCGTATGTTTTAGGTGTTGTAATGGAAAGAAAGTGTATTTAACTTATGAGCCTGATGTTTCTTATTTGAAATGGCTGTGATAGAATTTGTAAATCTTTGTTCTGTAGTCTTCACAGTAGGAGGCTTCATACAGTTGTAAATGCAGCTATCAGTTAAGATTCTTTCTAGAACTGAGCCGCAGATACTTTCTTGAACGGTCTTATTAATAGCTAAATTGTATGCTAACTTGTTCAAAGCTTCATGGGGAGGGTATGGTGAGGGATCAATGCTGACTGTATTCAATTAGATGGTACTTAAAGACTGTAAAGTTGGTAGGGGTTTTTTTTTTCCTTTTCTCTCTTGGTGTGTGTGTGTGTGTGTGTGTGTGTGTGTGTGTGTGTGTGTGTGTGTGTGCGTGTGTGTTTGCCTGTATGCATATGTGTGCACAAATGATCTGGGGCATGCATTTGTGGCCCCCTACTTGGCTCTATGAATTATTTCAATGTTGAATTTATAAGTAAACAGTGGTATCATTGTTATAAAGAGTATAGTGTCCTAAGATGCCTACATTAAGTCTAGATTGTATGTTGCTATTTATTTTCACCATGATATTTATTTGTTTTCAAGGCAGGGTTTCTTTGTAACCCTGGCCATCCTGGAATTCACTCTGTAGACCAGGCTGGCCTTGAATTTGGCATTATTATTGAAAGGACTGTTCTTTATTTTTCATTTCTTACAGATAGCATATAAAATAATTGTCTAGATACTCCTCCCTGGTTGTCTGAGATATTTTTATTTTCCCTTATATGAAGTAATATTTCTTTTTTACATCATTTTAATTTTAGTTTTGTAATTGTTGAGCTGTGAACAGAATGTGAGTGTTTTAAGGTTTTAAAACCCACTGAGAAATGTATTGGTGTAAGATGGTGACGTCCCTTCATTACAGTAGAAACCTGACTGAGAGTGGAGATGGGTGATAGAGCACATACCTAGCATATACTAGGCCTGGGTTTGAACTCTACCTAGCCCTGTAAAAATAGTAACTTTTTTACTAATGAATTTCTAATCATAGTATACCCCTTACCTATAGTTTATATTAATTTGCAAAATTTGATGCAGCAAATTGACACTTGGTAGTTTCTTCCTTTCCCGTTTGGTCTGTATCATGTAGCAAAATGCTTCTGTGTCTTGCTGAAGGAGCATGCAAACCAAAAACTGCCTCATTGATTGATTGTGCAAATACAGCATTCAGAAATAGATTGTCTTTTATAATCTGTTCCCCTCACTTCCTGAAGAGAAGTGATCAGAATGAAGTCACTGCTAATTGTAAGTCTGGTACTTCCTGCGAAGTTTGCATGAAAGTTATGAAACAAGTCTTCAATTAACACCTGCCAGAAGTTTGAGACAACATGCTTTAAGTAACTGCAGTTATGTGGCTGGGAGTTTTTCAATTCAATGTTTTTCTGGGGAGGAAAGTTAAGTGTTTACAGGGCTAGCAACATTGCAAGCTCATACAAACACAGAACGTATTGGAGAGACACAAGCAGCTTGAACTGTTAGTTCTAAGGTGACCCATGAATTAAGGTCACTCTGTCTTCTGGTAGAGTCTTGTGTTTCTTTTCTGATTGCTTTAATATAAGTTTATTTCTTAGGGGAACTGTTTGTGAATAGGAATGATGTCTTGGTTGCAATCTAATTGCAAAAATTATTTGCTACTCATTTTGTTTAGGAATAAGCATTTATTCACAGATCAAATATGTGAAGTAGACTTGCTGTGATTAAAATTATTGAAGGGATTTTGCATATGTGTGTGCAATATATATAGCAGTATAATGTGTGTTAAAGACCCTCTCATGTGGTGTGTGGTTGTCTACTAAGAGCTAGAGAAAAGGTGGCTCAGCAGTTAAGAGCCCTGACTGCTCTTCTGGAGGACCTGGATTCAATTCCCAGCACCAACATAAACATCTGTAACTCCAGGGCCAGGGGAAATCACATCTTCTGGCCTCTACAGGCACCAAGCATTCCTGCAGTGCACAAGCATGCGTTCAGGCCGAATGCCCATAAACACTTTAAAAAAGAAAAGTTCAGTTATGGTATCTTGCTTCCAAAATGCTGGAAATTGTGCAGGGGAAGAAATGTACAGAGTTCAGCATCTCAGCATTCTTTGAGAGTCCCTGGTCCTTATTTCAGAGCTCCAGGTCCGCTGTCTTGAATTGCCCAGCACTGATACCTTCTTTCATGCTCGTTAGAGAATAAACTTTTTGTCTTGCGCACTTTAAGGCATGGCTAGATTACCTCCAATATCTAGTGTAATTCAGTTGTTATGTAAATAAAAAAGAATCTGTACAGGTTTAAATGAATTCCCCCCTCCCCATGTTTTCTCTCGGTAGTTGACTGAATTCAGAGAAACAGAGCCAGTGGAGGATTGTTTCTCTGTTCTCTTCTCCACCTGTTGAATTGTGGGTGATTTCAAGTGTCAGTTCATTCTACTTTGCAGAAATAGAGGATGTGTGAGACAGGCTGATCCCTGGACCTAACCGGAAGTCAGCTCAGCTGACTGATGAGCTCCAGGTTCAGTGAGACTGTCTCAAAATAATGTGGAGAGTGACTGAGGAAGACACCACACATAGACCCTCGCCACTACACATATGCTTGAACACATACATGTGTACATCTATACACACACATACATACTACAAGAATACATATACCCCACATACATGCTGGAAATTGTGGACACGTCTGTGTAAGAAAGATATTATGGGACTTCAGTAAGTCATATAAACAGAATGAGTGCATGGTGATTAGACAGAGCAAAAAGTTCATACTTTTATTGCTTTTATGAGTTCCTGCCTCAACAGTTTCTCAACTAAATGGTCAACCAAAGAATCCCAAATGTAGCAAGCGACAGCTTGCTTAATCATAGAATACCATGGAAATGTCCAGTCATCTCTGAGGGGTCAAAGAGTTGCCGTGTGATGAACAGCATTTCCCTAGTCTTATCTAGACTGTTGTTGTTTAGTTCCAGATGTTGATGTGAAAGGAGAGTGTTCGAGCTACTATCTCCTGTTGCAAGGCAACGGCAAGAGAAAATGCAAAGCCACATTGCTTCACTCGGCCAACCAGATCAATGGCTCCTTTGCACTCAGTCTCATTCATGGAAAGATGAAAACAAAGACAGAAGAAGCCAAGTTAAGTAAGTGTTAGAAGAGCTAGAAGAGACCAGTTCCCACCCTTAGTACAATTGATTTACATGGTTTTAATTGGAAAGAATAATAATGAAACTCCATTTATGCCATTACTTTACCTTTTATTTTTAGGACATTATTCTGTCCTGCCTGGCTCCATCTCTGGCGGTGGACAGGTCCCCACAGGGGATGTAAGGAATTGATGATGGTTGGGAGAATCTTGCAGCCTGACTGACGAGCAGCCAGAGTGCTTCTTTCTTTCTTTCTTTCTTTCTTTCTTTCTTTCTTTCTTTCTTTCTTTCTTTCTTTCTTTCTTTCTTTTGGTTTTATGTGACAGGGTTTCTCTGTATTGTTTTGGAGGCTGTTGGTTCAGCCTGGCCTCAAACTCACAGAGATCCGCCGGCCTCTGCCTCCCAAGTGCTGGGATTAAAGGTGTGCTCCACCACTGCCCGGCCTCTTTATTTATACAGAACTCAGTAAGCAGAGTTACCTTCACGTTTCAAAACCTAGAACAGATCATTTTTGTTTTATGAACATGCGTTTCACTTCCCCTTGCTCATTTTTTAGTCATAATTATTAAAGTAAGACAGAACAGAGTTATTTCCAATCATTTTCCCTCGTGCTTTGACATCATTGATAGTTATCTTTTACAACCATTTCTTACTCGTCAACCCCATAACCCAATTTTTGAGAATCTAGAGGCATACGACAGCCTGTTCTCAGGCTAGTGGCTTTTGTGGCCACAAGGACACTAGACCAAAACAAAGTCCTCAAGCCAGCCCAGACATACTGCCATGTCCCAAGCAGTGTATTATTAACTCTTAATGGTGAGAGTGCCCAAGAAAATTCCTCAGAGAAAGCTACTGCAGTTGTTATTCAGCTTCTGGCGTACTTCAATGTTTATGTTTTATATTTTTATAAAGCTTGCCTGTCAGTCTAACCCTAGCATTCTGGTGTTCTTGGTCATAGGCCACTACAGTGGCTCCGCATGGGCTGACGTTTCTAAGAAAGGGAGGTCCTGATGTCTCATACTTACTTATAGCATACTTTTACATCATTTTTTATCAGTAAGTCTGTGTAGGGCAGAGGCAACTCCAGCCAATCTGACTTTGCTGCTGTATACGCCACGTAATCGCCTATGTGTATAGTTGGAAGAGGCTTGCAGTCTGAACTGAGGCCAACTCCTGTAGCCCACCGAATCTTTTTGACCTTTTTGAGTTGACTTTGTTTTGAATATCTTGTCCTGTGTAACTACAGGGACAGATGTTTCAAGAGTGTCCTGTAGCCTCATGTAGAGACCTCTGGCTTCTTTATGTGTGTGTCACAGCCTCCAAGGCATAAGGAAGGCCTTCAAGTAAATAAGGATGTCTCCCTAAAAGTGGGAGGCGTTGTGTGTTCAGGACTTTCCTGGGAAAACTTAGAAGCAGTACACCGGGGAGAAGGCATAAATGATTCCTAAGAAGTTTTCCATCAATCCGGTATCCCCAAATTGTACAAATATTAAAGTCTCCACAGTATGCGACAGATGGAGATGGAAACCAAAGGTGGCACGGCGGCCATCATGTGTCTTGGCTTTGCTGGGCCTTTGTGAAGCCGCTGTGCTGGCCTGATGACTTCTGCCGCTCCCGTCAGACATGATTATGCCACTGTTCCCTCCTCCATCTTCTCCCAGATCTTCCACTACCGAGGCAAAGTCATGTTTTCTCTCCTTGTCTCAAAAAATAGAAAATCGAAACTAACAAAAATCAATAAGGCAAAAAATACCAAACAAAGACAACAAGCATACAAAAAAGATGGAGTCCATTTTGTGTGTTGGCAAACTACAAGTCCATTGTGTGTTGGCAAACTACTCCCGGCTTGCGGCCTGCCCTGGAGTGTGGGTGGTAAACCCAGTGCTATTCCACTAGAGAAAAACCGGTTTTCCTTTTCCTGGCTGCTATTAATTGCAAATAGCTTCTTGGTTAGGGGTAGGACTTTGCATCCACTTACCTGTCTCCATGCTGGGATTTTAAATACAACCTTTTTATAATTTAAAATGAAGAGAATTCCTTTACAATGTACAAAGCTAGGATTAGCGGTTAGCTTTTAATTTCACACACCAAATTGTTAATGCTTATTGCTTTCAACACTAAAAATACAATTTTTTCCATTTATTTTCTCTCAAGCCTCTTTTTGTTTCATTGATTTGTCCTTTTTTCCCCTCTTTTGGAAGTTCTATATTTTGGTTATATTTGGTTCTATATTAAGTTCCTCATTTGGTTTTGTGTGTGTGTGTGTGTTTGTGTGTGTATTAACTATGTCAATAGACATATCACTCACAGACAGGAAGCAGAGGGACAGAAACAGCCCAAAGTCCATCATAAGTCATCCTCCAAAGACTTAAGCTATATGGTGCACATGGAGTCTTAACTCCTTGTATCCTACTTACTGCACAGTTGAGGACACCTGAAAGCATCCTTCTCTGGGTCACATGCTTCAGGGATCACATGACTCCGTAGACAAAGCCTGAATAGCCTTCCCTTGAAGGTGAGAGAGAAGCAAACTCCAAACTTCCCTTTGTGTCTTCTGATGGTGCATTTCCTGTACATTCTAATTATCTAACTATCTGAAAACTACATACAATAAGAAAAGAGGGTGAACCTGGATCAGCCAAGTCAGTTCTGGAACTGTTGCATAGTTTTATACTAAATTCATTATGCACAAAGAACTGAACGGAGGAGGACAGGTAGACCTGTGGTTCATTGCGGGGACTGTGGGAAGCTATATGCAGAGACAAGAAATTGTTCTTTGTTTTTTAAGTAGGTAGAAGAGAATGCCACGTAGCAAAGTCTACTCTGGTGCTCACATTCCCCCAAGGAATTAAGAATCAGATCAAAGATTAAGATACAGAACAATTTAGTATGCTCATTTCCCCGGGTTTAATTGTTACTTTGAAATATGTAAGATCAAGAGAGGTGAGTGGTTGGCTTTCATGTTTCTAGTCACTTGCTAACACATTTCCTAGGAACTGAATCTTAATTGTCAACATAGAATATCGTTAATGTTGATTTTTTTTTTCTTATTTCTCAGGTTTTCCTTTTGACTTCACATCACTCCCAAGTTTTTCTGAGGAGCAGGTTTTGCAGAGAGAGAAACAGTTAGCCAGCATACAAGTTTTGGCCTTGAAAGAATGCCTGAGTAAGTACCGGTTTGGGCATTTGATTCTACTCTAAGAATGTTGGTTAGTTTAGTGTGAGGCACCTATGTTTACATACTTGTTCCTATACATGTTGTCTTTTAGGTGTGATGCATACAGCTGCATGTCAATAGGTAGCTGGGGTAGATGAGGTTTGGAATGTTGTTTTTACTGGATTCAGAATGTCCTGATTGTCAGTATATCATTGGAAATACTTTAAAAACATAGTTTGCTGGGGAAATATTGTATTTCTTTTGCATTTTTTAAAAATAATCTATTTTTTATATTCCAATCCCAGTTCCCCCTCCCTCCTCTTCTTCTGCTCCCCTCACTCCCCGCCCTCCTCCCATCTGCCCCACAGAGAGGGTAAGACCTCCCCTAGGAAGTCTACTAAGTCTGTCCCATCATCTTGTTGATGCAGGGCCGAGGCACCTTTCCACCCCCACACCCCTGTGTCCAGGCTGAGCACGTTATCTCTCCATATAGAATGGGCTCCTCTAAGTCAGTTTGTGCATTAGAGTTAGGTCTTGGACTTACTGCCAATGGCCTCATATATTGTCCCAGTCACACCATTGTCACCTATATTAAGGGAGTCTAGTTTAGTCTTAGGCAGGTTCCCCATTTGTCAAACCTGAGTCAGTGATCTCTCGCTAGCTCGGGTCAGCTGATTCTGTGGGTTTCCATATCATGGTCTTGACTCCTTTGTTCATATTATCGATCCTCCCTCACTTGGATTGTACTCTAGGAGCTTGGTCCATTGGTTAGTTGTGGAGAAATTTTATATTTCAAATTTGTATACTCTGAACCATATCTAGAAAAGACAAAGAAGTCTGTTATTCTATTTAATGCATATAATCCTTATGTAGTTTTTGTAGAAGGAAGATCGAGGCTAAAAATAGAAGAAAGTGCAAGTTTAGAAAAACTAGTATGGTAACTTGTGAGTTAATTCTTCAGTTTAATCATCACTAGTAACTAATGATAACTGAGCATAGTTCACATACTGAAGTTAACATCATGGGTTTTCCTTAGCTGGGAGGCTTAACACTTTTTCAAAAAATATCAGGTGTTTTTCTTCCATCATTAATATTAAATTGGTTATCAGTCTGAACTTTTATAAATATTAATTGTGTGTTATTGCTTAAGATCATTAAGCTTTAACTCACTGAGATATAGTTGCTAAGAAACTCCTTAAATTTATGATACTACCTTAGTTACATAAGGAAGAAAATATTGCAAATATATATTAAAAAGTAAAACTGTACTCTTATTCAAAAGCCTCACAAACAGTATTGAATTCAATGATCTGTTTATTCAGTAGGAAATAATTTTAGAATTTTAATTTAGAATATTTAAAAAATATTTACTAGTCAGTTACTCACGGAAGCACTACAAAGTTTCCTTGCTTGCATAAAACTAAAGTAATTGTGTGTTAATTTGTGATGTTTTGTTCAAGAAAAGTATTGTTTAAAAGGAAAGCAAGTTTCAAGTTTCAGTGGAATTGAGATAGTTCAGTGGGTGAAGGCTCTACCAGCAGACCTAATGACCTGAGTCCATCTCCAGAACGCCAGTGGTGGAAGGACTTTGACCTTCCCTTGAGCACTGTAGCTTGTGCAGGCATGTACACACACACACACACACACACACACGCACACACACACACACACACACACAAGGGTGAGCAAGAAAGAAACTTTGAATGGTAGTACACGTTTGCCAGTGGACATACATGGCACAGTTGGTAAAGTGCCCACTATACATGCATGGGACCTGACTTCAGATCCTCAGCGTCCATGTAAAGTTGAGGGTGGTGGTGCACACCTGTTGCACTTGAGGGAAGTTGGCTCTGGCATTCATTGGCAAGCTAGCCTAGCCAATAGATGAACTGCAGACTCAGTAAGAGACCCTATCTCAAGAAAGAACTTGTAAAATAGGTGTTGCATGATAAATAAAAGACCCAGAGACTGATATTGGGGTTCTGACCTCAAGCTGAAGGACAGAAAAGCAAAGTAGCAGGCCACTAGCTCTTATCACTACGTCAGTCTGAATGGACTGATCCTGCTGCCTCTGCTCAGTGTGGCTGGAGAATTCTGAGACTGAATGTCCTCCTATCCTCAATGTGGCTGGAGAAGGAATGCCTGACACTGACACCTTGCTCCTATCTTATATACCTTCCTAATGCTGGGATTAGTCATGGGATCCCAGGTGCTGACATCATCCTTGTGTGAGCTGTTTCTCTTTAGGACTGGATCAATCTTGTGTGGATCTGGGTGGCCTTGGACCCACCGGGATTTATCTACCTCTTAATCCTGAGTCCTAGGATTAAAGGCGTGTACTACCACCTTCTAGCTTCTGGCTACTGGGATTAAAGGTGTGTGCCTGGCTTCTATGGCTTGTGACTGACTTTGCTTTCTAAATCCTTGGGAAAGCTTTAATAATTCATCAATAATATATCACCACAAATAGGCTTACAAATTGTTCTCTGGCCTGTACATATACTCCATCCCCCAACATACATAATAATGAAATGTTAAAAGAATGTGGAAAATGATGATGGAATATACCTTTACCTCCACACATGTATACATGTGTACTTATACTCATGTGCATACATCATGTAAACATGTACATACAAGTGTGCAGTTGGCAGTCTGAAGTGTTAAGTCTTGGGGCTCAGATTAATGATCCAGGGAATCCACTTATGAAGATAATCCTCGCTGAATAAATCAATTCCTTCCCAAACTGGATTAAAACTTTGGTAGCAGAAATGCATCCATGCAGTTTTGTCTTTCAAGAGGCAAGGAAAGTTATGGCAGAGTGTCCAGGAAATGCATATTTGAGTATGTTCTTCAGTGATTTTTCCCATGGACAGGTGTTAAGAGAAAAAAATTTTTTTAACATGGGAAGAAAGGTTTATTGAGGGAAGGTAGGGAAGAGAGAAAGAGACCTGTCTCTTCAGAGAAATGGCAGAAAGATGAAATGTTTTTAAGAACATTTGTATTTTGTGAAAACTAAAGAATTTTAAACAAAAAGATCTTTTAAAAGTCAGTCCCTTGACAGTGATAAAAACCCTTTTGTATAAATCAAACCTTCAAAAAGATGTCCTTAATATGCCAATGAAATGGGACGAATAGTCCAGTTCTTCTAGTATTTCCCTGGCCATTCTCAGTTGATAAAGAACTGGAGAGTTCCATAAAATGTACTAATTAAATGATACCCTTGAGACATTTTAAAAATAGCATGAATATCAAATAAAGCTTGTTGGAGTTTAACTTTCTAAATGTGTAGCTGGAGTTTCGTCTGCCTGGTCCCTTAGCTGTTTAGCTCCAAATAAGCACACAGAGACTTAATTATTAAAGTGTTTGACTGTTGGCTAGGGCTTCTTACTGGCTAGCTGTCTCTTAATTGTTAACCCATTTCTATTAATCTAAGTACTTCTACATGCTCCTATCTTACCAGAGAAAGGTTTAGACTTGTTACTCCTTCTCCTGCTACATGGCGTCTCTTTGGTGACTCTGCCATCCTCTCCCCAGCCTTCTCTTGGTCTGTCAGCCCTGCCTATACTTCCTGCCTGACTACTGGCCAATCTATTTTATTCATCGACCAGTAAGAGAAACATATATACAGAAGGACATCCTCCATCATAAATGAGTTTATGTTTGGTTTACTTTTTAAAATATCTGATCTATTAGAGTAATAAAATATAAAACATAACTGTAGTTTAATATTCTTTATTTTTGTAATTTATGACATTTATGCTTGGAAAGAGAGTTAACAATACCTTATCTCAGCTTTTTTAAGAAAAAGTTTTAGAATGCTGACAAGTTTTTAGAGACTTCAGTATGATGCTAAATAAATATAATCATCCAGTGTTGTCTCCAGTATTACACTCACTACAGTGGTGTCTTCATATCTCCTAAAAATTCATGGAACCCACTAAAATCCTGATTCATATTCCGCTGATAGCCTTTAGTTATTTCATATTTCTCAAAGAATTCTCAGTACTGCTATTTAATAAAGAATATACCATTCCTTTGCTGACCATTTTGGAGTTTTAAGTTTTCTCCTGAGTTCTTATCTCTCACTTATATACAAGCTTATATGTATAGTTGCGTTTTTTTTTTTACTTCTGTTAAATAATATGTAGTTCATCACTGTATTAAGCCTATCTCCATCTCCTCCCTCATTCTCATCTATGAAGATTTTCTTACCCTGTTTTCCAACCTGTGATGTAATTGGCAGCCTTTGTACATCGAGGTCAGCTCGAGTGTAGTTTTAGTTAATAGAATAAGGGACTGAGTGAGCGCATTGCTCATTGTGTATCTTCCATGGGAAAGCAAGCCATTCATGACCTTTTGCTTAAGATCCAGCTGATTGTACAGAAAGGAAATACACCGAGGCTTCTGATTTCCTCGCTGAGAAGATCTTGAAGAAACAGATTATCTCCACTCTGATTTTACTGTTAATATTTTTGGCCGCATAAAGCGTGTGTTTCTTTCCTAATGCTAACCCTGACCCCTAGAATACCCACGTCAGTGAGGTAGGGTGTTCCATGGCCTGTGTCATAAAGCTGAGGTTCTAAAGGGTGGGGTGGTTGCTGCCTTCCCACCAGCTACCCTGCACAGTTAATGTGCACTAGGCTGCACCTAGTGTAATGCCATTCGCCTGAAGCCTCTGAGTCTGGGGCCTGGGACGGGTGCTTGGCAGGCAGTAAGTTCCCTACATCTGTTGGATTCATATCAGTTTCCAGGATAACAGGTATATTGTAGAAGGAAAATGTGATTAGTCTAGAAGTGTTTTTTTAAAGAAATGTTGTGTATCAAAGTAATAGCATAGGTACAGACTGAAATTTTAGATGATACTGGAAAACTTCAAAGGTACAACAGCAATGACTCTCCCCTCGTCTCCCTTTCTCTGTGTCTACAGAGGCTATCCTCATCTCTGTCTGTGTGTCCACAGGGGCTATCCTCATCTCTGTCTCTGTTCACAAAGGCTATCCTCAGCCTTCCAGCTTGTTCAGGCCTTTCTTATTTCTAGATACTGTGAAATTATATGTATCCAGTTTCAGGGATTTTCTTAAGGTCCAACTGGCAGATAAAGAATTAGTGTCTGTAGCTGTCTTCACTATCTGTTTCCCTTCCCAGTGACCCTGAACAGCGAAGGCATGGGTCGGTTAACAGTGTAACAGCAGAGGTGTTTCCTGCTGCATGGTGGAGCTTATTTTTACAGTGCTATCTCCCTGCTCTGCTTTCAGAAGTCAACCCCCCTCCTGCAGGACTCTTGTGTTTTATTCTTTGACCCCACTCCCTGACGGTATCATCTCCAGAAGCCTCACTGTGGATGATAGTGTGTACCCCTCACCCCCCAGCCCTTGACCCTGTTTACCGGGCTGTCTGTGTGATCGGCCATCTTAATAGGACATCCTCGACTTTTCCAGCAATTCCCTCCCTGCTTCTTGTCCCTGTACCTCTTAGAGAGTTATATACTGATGCTCCAGACAGAGCGCTTCGTGCTTATTGGTGAGTTACTTTTGAGCCAGGGTCCCACGTGGCATAGTCTTGAAGTTGACACATAGCTGACGATGACCTTGAACTCCTACATCTTTCATTCTTAGTACCATTTCCAGTATGCTCAGATTACAGGTGAGCACAACCCCTCCTGGTGAGGAGTCTTTCGTTGTTGATGTTCCGTGATTGTTTCTCATCAAACCAGCCTGTACTTATTCCAGTGTCGTCTTTACTTTGGGAAAATGTAACTCTGTCACATTTTCTCTCGTTTTCTACAATGGTGTTCTTTTGAATCCTTTTTCTTTGTTTTCTTCTTCTTCTTCTTCCTCCTCCTCCTCCTCCTTCTCTCTCTCTCTCTCTCTCTCTCTCTCTCTCTCTCTCTCTCTCTCTCTCTCTCTCTCTCTCTCCCCTCTCCCCTCCCTCTCTCTCTCTCTCTCTCTCTCTCTCCATCCCTGGAACTTTTTGTTCTTTGTTTTGTTTTGCTTCAAAGAACCCAACAATACCTTTTCTCCAAAAGTTGCAACCAATTTAGGAACAAACTGAAGAAATGTACAGGTAAATCATAGATGAAAATGGTATATTTTAGATTATGACGAAGCAGGCTTTCTACATTCTCCAAGTCTTGAGCTATTGGTTAAGTGCTAGAACTGGGCAACTATAGATCAGCCATATAGGAGAAGGCCCCTCCCACACTGCAGAGAGAATTCCTGGAGACTGGCTAGCTCTGTTAACAGTGAAAGAGGAAGGGTTCATGAAGTCTGTCTGGTCATGACCAGTTCAGTGAGGATCAAGAGGAAGCTGCACATCTTCCTGGGTTGAAGTCCTTTCATGGGTAATGGTAGCATAGGAAACGCAGAGCCCTTCCCCACAGCCCTCTCCACGGCTTGTGACTGTCTCTCCATCCATCCTGCTTTCCACGGTGGCGTCTGTTTCCAGCCTCTAGTGTAATGCCTGGCAAAAGTCACTGGAGAGTGGGACAGGGAGGATTCAGAATTCTGATTTGAACCTGCATCTACCCCGATCTTAGTGTCAGCATCTGGGGCTCTGCGTTCTGTGGCTGTTCAGTTTTATGTTTAGAATCCCCTTGTGGCCCACTGGCCACAGGTGGCCAAGGATAGCTGTGACTATGGCCCAAGTATAGACTCATAAATGTCATAGGTGACAATCTTGTGTCACACTGTCACACAGTGGAACACATCTCTGGGACTCTAATCCTTTCAGTGAGGCATTGTATTTTGTATTTCTAGTGAGCACTGTATTTTGTGTTTCCAGTGAGTACTGTATTTTGTATTTCTAGTGAGCACTGTATTTTGTGTTTCCAGTGAGTACTGTATTTTGTGTTTCCAGTGAGTACTGTATTTTGTGTTTCCAGTGAGCATTGTATTTTGTGTTTCCAGTGAGCACTGTATTTTGTTTCCAGTGAGCATTGTATTTTGTGTTTCCAGTGAGCGCTGTATTTTATGTTTCCAGTGAGTACTGTATTTTGTATTTCTAGTGAGCACTGTATTTTGTGTTTCCAGTGAGTACTGTATTTTGTGTTTCCAGTGAGCACTGTATTTTGTGCTTCCAGTGGTATTTTGGTGGTAGGGCTTGGGAATCTGATGTTTGTTTAGAACTATAAGACTTTCATTGAACTTACGTTTAGCCCCATCGTTAACGTGACCTTTTTACAAACCTGCAGTCCGGTAGTTTGGAACTATTCAAACCAAACCAAACTGGAAGCAGTACTGCCTGTCTCTGAGGCTGGACAATGGAGTGGTGAGCAGAGCTTGAGCTGTGACTGAGCCTTCATGTCCAGACTGGTTTGAGGCCAGTACCTCACTGCGCTTGCCCACATTCCCCCCTTGGCGGTGGTCCCTCCGCCCTCACTGGTGTGCCCTCCATATTTGGATTTTAGTTAATCCCAGATGGAGTCAAGTTGTGAACCAAGAATAGCTCTCAGGTATACATATGAGTTACATACGAATGTAAGATCATTTTTAATGCTCTCCCATGTATCCCAGCAGACTTGTAAGCTTTCCTTTGCTATCCGTCCCCATTTACTGTTAACCAGTTGCTCGCTGTTCCCTCATCTCTCATAATAACTCAAAATTTTGCTGTTACCTAGAAGTTAAAAATGAAAATGTGGCTACATAGGAAGGCAGATATTTGTCTTACTTTCAGAAATACATTTAACAAAAATGCTAGAGGGAGGAGCTACCACTGCAGGGGCTCAGACATGTCCTGTGGTTAACTGTGTCCCTTTGTCCTGCAGAGAGAAGAAAAGCTGCAAATCAGCCTGAAGCAGTTTCCACTGACGAACTCAAAAGTCTGTTGCTGCTCACGAGACAGCGCTTCCTAGGTCATTCTGATGCTCTCAACCCTAAAGCAGTTTTAACACAGCCAGACAAAATGAAAGCAGCTGCTGGTATGGTCAGGGGTAAGTTTTTTATTATTTTCAATGTTTTGGTGGTGGTGGAGATATGAGTAGCATTTTTATTAAATTTTATAGCCTATATTGGCCAAGTCAAAACATATTTCACACATTTAAAGAATGATAGGTTTTTTTCTTAATGTGTGTATCTGAACTCTACATATTTAAATACGACAGACTTTTTACTAACACCTTTCATCAAATATATTGAGTTTAACTTTTTAAGTACAGGAGGAAGTACTCTGTTGTCTTATCATCTTCCTAAGCTGCTAGAATGGATATGTTTCAAAAAGTGAAGAAGTAACATGTATACAGTTGTTATTGAATGTTTTTCTTGTCCAGCTTGGTCCTGCAGCTACTTCAGTCCCAAGTGAACACAAAGATGCTCTATTATAAAACTGTTGGCCGGTGTCTTGAGCTTCTTATCGGCTAGCTCTGTCTTAATTATTAACCCACTTCTATTAATCTGTGTATTTCCATGTAGTCTTGGCTTACTGGAAAATGCCTGACACATCTTCTCTTCCCGGGCTCTACATAACGACCCCATCTGCTTAGTTTCCCAGACTTCTCCTCATCTAACCCTGCCAATACTTCCTGCCTGGCCAATCGGCCAATCAGTGTTTTATTTATCAACCAATAAGAGAAACATATATACAGAAGGACCTTTCCCATTATACAGTGAATTGGATACAGGCAGAACCACATGTTACAACATTTCGCAGCTGCCACTCACTAGGGTCCGAGAGTCACCATGCTTCCCCAGGGGATTGTGGGCTCATTGCTGCACTAACTGAGCTTTTGTACCTTTCTGAAGTCTGATGTTGTGGTCGATTTGAACAAAGGGAGCTTTCAGGTATCTAGAACGCATTTGAGGCCCTTGACACAATTTGAAACAGGACAAATTTTTGCTTTTATTTTGTGGGAACCATTTTTATTGTATAGGCTAAGAAAAATAATCACAGAATAAACTAGCAAGAGTCTGTATTTGAGTGCCCTTTCTAGATACTATGGATAGTCACAAAGAAATTAACATCATATCCTTGGCTTTCAGCCAGATTACCTTGTTTGTAAAGCAGTGTGTGCAAACAGTGGACCATGTCCTGCTTGAGTACAAATGTCTGTTAAAATTCTAGGCCTCATTTGGGCCCTTGTTGACTAGGGTCTGGATTAGTTACATTTCTCATCTCTTTGATGAAATACTGGCAAAAGGTATTTAAAGACGTCCTCCTCTCCACTCCCAGTGGGAGAGCTGTGCATTGTGTTGGGGAAGATAGGAAAATGGCAGAGGCACGTGGTGGCTGGTCCATCGTGTCAAAGCAGAAAGAGATGGGTGGATGCCGGTGCTCAGTGTGTTCAATTTATCTTTTCTACTCAGTCCAGGGCCTCAGCCCCTGGCTTAGTGCCCTTCCACATCCAAGGTGAATCCTTCCCTCCCCCCCCCTCCAGTTAAACCTATTGCACATCTGGACTTGTGCTGTTTAGGTGATATCAAATCTAATAAAGTAAACAATGGAGACTAACCGTCAGATTGACTTTGGGCGAATTACTTAACCTCCATATTTGGGTTTCCTTATGTTTACAATGGCAGTAGTAGTTTGGCCCAGTATGTTGGAATTTGTGGGTATTAAGTGAGTTGACGCATGTAAAACACTCAGAAAACAACGAGCACCACAAATGTGCCACTTGCCATTTGTGCTGTTATTCCCAGTGTCCTATGGAAGTTCCAACAGCAGTCCTGAGTGATGCAGAGAGTGTTGGAGACGTTAGTGTGTCACTAGAGAATGGGTTATGTGTGGTGAGTGAGAAAACACGCTTCGGCATGTGCTCTGGAACTTGAGTAGCAAGGCTGAGTGTTGGCTCTGAAACTTACCTGCTGTGTTAAGTGTGGACAAGTCTTCTGACCGCCGTTCCTTACCCCTCAGTTGAGGGATGATTATGTCAGTTGCTTTTCTGTTTCAGTGACAAAAGACCATGACCAAGGCAACTCGTAACAGAAAGCATTGAACTGGATGTGTGGCTTCAGAGGGTTAGAGTCCACAGTGGTAGAGTGAGGGTGTGGCAGCAAGAACAACTGGGAGCTCACATCTGGATCCACAAATAGGAGGCAGAGAAAAGTAGCCTGGGAATTGGGCAAGTCTTTTGAAATCTCAAAGCCTACCCCTAGTGACATACGTTCTCCAACAAGGCCACAGCTACTGTTCTCTCCCAAACAGTTCTACCGACTGAGGATCAATCATTCAGGCATATGAGCCTACAGGAACCGTTCTCATTCAAACCACTGTGGGATAGTTAATTATTTGTTAAATTAAGTGTTGTGAAACAACTGCATAGTTTTGGCTAAGCAAACTGACATACGTTTAGGAGACACGACTTGGAACTAGTGTAGAGCCTTGCTAGAAGCCCAGGGACTTGGAGGGTCTTTAGTGACGTTTAGCATATGGAAGGCAAGAAGATAGGATTTTGCAAGGAAGAAGCAAATGATACCGTAGCCATGGAGTATGAAGTTGGGAGACAGGTTTGGCTTCCCAGAGGATTTGCATGGGAGGTAAGAGGGAGCTGAGTGATAGTAGATGCCTCTTGAGGTGGCCTGGGCAAGCCAGTCTAGGATGCTGTTAGCACTGACTTTACCTCCATGTCATTCTTTTGCTCAAGCCATGAGGATTGCTTCCATTTGCACAGATTGCATCACCCACACTGTGGCTTATACAAACCTTAACTGGTGTGTTGTAGCATGTTCTTTTCATTGGCCGCCAGCTCACAAATAATAACATGGAGATTTCGTATTGATTATAAAAGCTTGACCATTAGCTTAACTGAATTATTCCCACTAGCTCTTATAACTTAACATTAACCCGTTTATCTACTTTCTGTCATGTGATATTACCTCTCTTCCATCTTGCACCTCCTGTTCCCTCCCTGTGCCTTTATGGCAACTCTGCCTTTCTTCTTCCCAGAGTCCTCTCTGTCCCGGGAAGCCCTCCTTATCCTCTTCTTGCCTACAGCTAATCAGCTCTTTACTAAACCAATCACAGTGACACATCCTCACACAGTGTAAAGAACTATTCCACAACAGAAACCTGGCCTTGTGCTCATTCTAGTTTTCCAAATATCACATTTCTGTTTCCTGTTACCACAGTCAGCTTAGTCCTGGGGCATGTCCCACTTTTCCTCTTTGGCTTTATATATGTCATGTCCCTTGTCTAGAAGCCTTTTCTCTCAGCTCTTACCTGACTATTTTTTTTGTTGTTGTTGTTGTTCATTTTTTTAAATTAATTTTTTAAAATCCAATCCCAGTTCCCCTGTCCTCCCACACTCTCCCTCTGCTCCATGGAAAGGGTAAGGCCTCCCCTAAGATGTCTACTAAGTCTATACCATCATCTCGTTGAGGTAGGACCAAGGCACCTCACCACCCCCTACACCCTGTGTCTACATATCTCTCTGTACAGAATGGGCTCCACTAAGTCAGTTTGTGCATTAGTGTTAGATCCTGGACTCACTGCCAGTGGCCTCATATATTGTCCCAGTCACACCATTGTCACCTATATTAAGGGAGTCTAGTTCAGTCTTATGCAGATTCCCCGTTTGTCAGACCTGAGGCAGCGATCTCTCATTAGCTTGGGTCAGCTGATTCTGTGGGTTTCCCCATCATGGTCTTGACTCCTTTGTTCATATTTTTGCTCCTCCCTCACTTTGATTGTACGCCAGGTGCTTGGCCCATTGGTTAATTGTGAATTTCTGTATCTGCTTCCATGTGTTTCTGGAGGAGAGTTCAAGCTTCTCTGGGGTTGTGGATTATAGGCTGGGGATCTTGCTCTATGTCTGATACCCACTTACTGTATTTATCTTTCTGGTTTTGGGTTACCTTACTAGGATAGCTTTTTCTAGTTCTGTCCATTTGCCTGCGAATTTTAGGATGTAATTGTTTCTTACCACTTAGTAGTACTCCACTGTGTAAATATGCCACATTTTCTTTATCCATTCTTCAGTTGAGAGGCATCTAGTCTTTTTCCAAGATCTGGCTATTAAAAATAATTTTGCTATGAAAATAGTTGAGCAAATGTCCTTATGGTGTGAATATGCCTCCTTCAGAGATATGCCCAACAGTGGTATTGGAGGGTCTTAAGATAGGTTGATCCCTAATTTTCTGAGAAATCACAATACTGATTTCCACAGCAACTATAAAAGCTTGCATTCCCACCAGCAACGGAGGACTGTTCCCCTTTCTTCATAACCTCTCCAGCATAAGCTGTCATTGATGCTTTTGATTTTAGCCATTCCAGTCAGTATAAGATAGAATCTCAGAGTGGTTTTGATTTGCATTTCCCTCATGACTAAAGATGTTGAGCATTTCCTTGGTGTCTTTCTGCCATTTGAGATTGTTCTATAGAGGATTCTCTATTTAGATCTGTGCCCCATTTTGTAATTAGATTATTTGGTTGCTTGATTTCTAGTTTCTTGAGTTCTTTGTATATTTTGGAGACCAGCCATCTGTCAGATGTGGGGTTGGCGAAGATCTTTCCCCATTCTGTAGGGAGCTGTATTGTCTTGTTGACCTTGCCCTTTGCTTTATAGAAGCTTCTCAGTTTTAAATGGACCCATTTATTGTTGCCCTCAGTGTCTGTGCTACTGGTGTTCTATGTAAGAAGTGGTCTCGTGTTCCTATGCGTTCAAGTGTATTGCCCACTTTCTCTTCTATGAGATTCAGTGTGGATGGATTTATGTTGAAGTCTTTGATCCATTTGGACTTGAGTTTTGTGCATGGGGATAGATATGGATCTACTTGCATTCTTCTACATGTTGACAGCCAGTTATACCAGCACTATTTGTTGAATGTATTTTCTTTTTTCCATTTTATATTTTTAGCTTCTTTGTCAAAAATTAGATATTCATTCACCTGACTACTTTTATCTACTTTGTGGATGTTCAGGTGTCATTTTCTCTGAGGCTTTTCCCTGCTGTGGCCAGTTTCAACTGTCTGCCATACTGCTACTCTTCAGTTTTTCTCATTTTGTGTGGCATAGATCTAAGTTGGTGCATCATCTATCTGATCGTTACTGTTATCTGTCTTCTCTCCACACCATGTCGTTTGAAGGGACAGAGCACACTTAGTTGCTATCTCTGCATTTGCAGGGCCTGCCATGGCACCTGGAGGATATAGCATGGAGGAGGATCTCCCCAAATTACTCACAAAACCAATGAAGGCTTGTAGAACCTGAGCTGAAAATTGATAGGCTGCACATCTGAATGTCACTTCTCCAAATACAGTTGTGGCTGTTGACATTCTTGTAGCACTGATTTGAATAAATGTATCTACATGTAACTTGAACTGCATGTAAAACTAGTAAGTTCAATCCGTTGTATATCCTGGCACAATTGTACTTATTAGCAATATAGGATGATATTGCTTCTACTTCTGTGAAGACTCCAGCAAGTGTAGCAAGTGACAGGTCACAATGTAGACAATTGTAATGTAGTCACTTTATTGACTCACTGCTGGAGTTGTTGAAGACTTTTGATATGAGACATAAGGAGTGTCTACTAGCATTTCTGGGCACATAGCAAGTTTGTTAGATAAATTGTAATCCCTTTGATTATTTCAAACATTTAGGATTATGTCTCTATGAAATAGACCATGCCAAATCTAATGTCACTTTTCATTGAGATTTGTTCTTACTTTTGTCTGTAAGATTGTAATGGCTTATCCTCATTATTCACACATGCTGATATTACTACCTTTCCATTTGCTGGAATCTGGTATATGAAGGTCACTTTCCCTGTTTTCCTAATTGTATTGCTCCTATTTCTATTTCTTTTTCTTGTAAAATAAGATATTACAAAACAATAATTGTCTTGATCTCTCAGGGAGCCTTTTGTTACATTTTGTTTCGGGGCATGCTATAGTATCCAGAGATGAAAAATGAATAAAATATTGTAAGAATTATAGTTTTATACCAAAGTCCTGACATTTGTTAATGTTTGTTCACTTTTCTTAAATATTAGACTATGTCATCTGTATTTATATAAGTTATATACTCAGCTAATAATTAATTTCATTGTAATATGCAGGGACAATTTATTGTTTGTTTTTTAAAGATAACTTGAATCCTCTCATGAACTCGAGTGTGCAACGGTGCAGAACTGGTATTGATTATTTTCTCCATGTTTTTATTACAAAGCCATGTCTCCATTAAGGAGCACATTGCTTCGCTACAAAGCTCATTACCCTATCAAATGGATTTCCCCACTGTTAATAAGAAATGGGAAATGGTGTGTTGTGAGGATGTTAGTTGAGGACATCCAAATGTAGGTACTAGAAGATACATTGCCATATTCAAGGTTAAGTAGTTTATGAAGTAGAGAGACGGTTGCTCCCGTTTGTATTATACCTGAGAAACAGAATAGGCATCTGTCAGTAGTGATTTCAGCAGTGAGCGTCCAACAATTTCGAGTCATTCATTAGAATGCAGTGTAAGAGTTAAAGACATCTTTAAAACAGGTAGGTTTAAAATTTAAAAAGTAGTACAGTGTTTGTAAAGCTAATACTTTCTGATGAGAATGGGAGCCGTCCCTTTAGACCTTGTTGAGTTCCAAGGTTTGGGGCAGACTCAGTTTTACTCATTGCAGCAGAGTAACCAGCAAGATGGTCCTCACTGCACTATTGTTAAGAGTCAAGTGATACTGAATTTTACTGACTCGAGGACATCTCCATTTAACAGATATGTAAGAATTATTTCAGAAGTAACCTTGAGAACATTATAAGCATACATTAGTCATTTATTATACTTGTAAGACTGGGGTAATCCTTTTTTTTAAAGACATAAAACTTTTTATTTTACTTATAATTATGTTTCTAGTATGGGAGTCACAGAACTATGTGTTCACTATAGAGTGGCTTCGTTTCTTTTTTTATTTGTTTATTTTAATTTTAAATAGCTTGTTTCACGTGTTAATGCCAGTTCCCTCTCCCTCCCCTCCTCCTGCACCCCCACCATCCCCCCCCCCACAGCCTCCCACCCTATCGCCATTTCCTTCCACATAGGGGATATCTAGAGTCTGTCATTTCACTCAGGGCAGGGTCCAGGCACTCCCCTAAGAGTCCACGCTAAGAGACCATCCCTCTTTGTGTTATGGACACATGATGTCTGTTTGTATGCCAGGGATAAACACTGATCCACTGCCCAGGGCCCCATAGGTTGCCCAGGCCTCCTCACTGACTCTCACACTCAGGGGGTCTGGATCAGTCCCATGCTGGCCTCCCAGCTGTCGGTCTGGTGTCCAAGAGCTCTCCCCTGTTCAGATCAGCTGTCTCTGCTGGTTTTGCCAGCCCATTCTTTGCCAATTTGCTTATCGCTCCTCTCTCTCTGTCACTGGGTTCCTTGGGTTCAGTTCAGTGTTTAACTGTGGGTATTTGCCTCTGCTCCCATCACTCACTGGATGAAGGCTTTTCATTTGAACTACTTTCATAAGAATAGCTAACTTGTGCTTTTGTTCCATGTGAGCCTTTATAGGTAGATTCATTGAATTTTACCAGTCATAACTCATACATTTTATTTGAAAATGATATTTTATTTTCATTTCCAATATTCTCAGTGGCATTTTATACAGTTCAATTCATTACTCAAGTCTTTAATAAGTGTCTCAATTGAGTCCTTACCCTTTACACACACACACACACACACTCACATTCACATTCACACACTGTGTATACACCCACCAACGTCTGTCTATCTGTCTGTCTTTCTACCTACCTATCTTATTCCAAGACACTCTCACTACTTAGCCCAGGTTGGCCTTGAACTCACTATGAAGCCTCGGCTGGCATCAAATTGTAATTTTCCTGCTTTAGCCTTCCAAATGCTAGGATCACGGGTGGTTGTTACCACACCCTGATGGAACTTTATTTTTACATAGAGCATTCATTGTTTTAGCGTTTTTTTCTGTGCTGATGTGTATTTGCTCTCTTTAGATGCCAATAAAGTTGAACCTTATTCAAGTCTAATGGAAACCAATCCTGTGGAATGGCCAGAAAGACACGTTCTTCAGAATTTAGAAACTTTTGAAAAAGCTAAAAAAAAAATGAGGTAATATTTGAGTTTGTAAAAATGCATGTTCAGTATTTTCAAATGAATATTCTTAATATTTTAATCATTTAATGTTCAGAAAGTTCTAATTTCATTATAAAAGAAAAACAGATGCTTTCTTTAACAAGTAGCTAATCAGTAGAGTAGCGTATTGATTAAAAGGGAAAGGTCATTTTCCCCTTTTTATTATCTTGGTACCTTCCAAGTGTGCATAACTGGCGATTACTGTATGCTTAGCTTTATAAATTTCTTCCATCCACATATACACTTAGTTTACTTTTTTATTGCTGTGATAAAACACTGACCAAAAACAACTTGGAGAAGAAAGTGTTTATTTGGCTTACATATCCCAAACACAGTCCTCAATGAGAGAGATCAGAGCCCATGGAGGAAATACTCCTTCCCGTGGCGTTTTGCCTGCCTGCTCAGCTTCCTTTCTTAGAAAACCCAGGACCACCTGCCCAGAGTGCGTTGGGTCTTCTCATGTCAATCATCAATCAAGAAAATGACCCATAGGTTGCCTTCGGGCCAGTGTGGTGGAGGGATCTTTCACGTGAGGCTGTCTCTTCCTACATGGACCTTGCTTGTGCGAACTTAAGAAAAAGTTCACCAGCAGACACACACACAAACATAATAATGGTGTGGGAAATGAGGTGGAGTCACTTGAAACTATTTTGGTTTTCATCCGTAGTAAGTAGGTCCTCTCCCAGACAGAAGTAGGTGTCCAGCAGCCAGAGTTCCCTTTGGTCTTTGGCTATGGTGCACAGTAGGCACTAAGTGTGTAATTGCAGGATATTGGAGTACAAGATCTCTGCCATTTCTCCTTCGGTGTTTAGCTCTCCTGGTACCATCTTGTGACCCTCTGTAACCTTTTCTCTTACTGTCCCCAAGTATTGATTAATGCCAGTTTTGGGGCACTGGGGCCATACGAGGAAGAACACCAGTGCCTATCTTCTCTGTGAGTCCTTTTACTGGAGAGATAATCAAAAGAAAACAAGGACCCAGGCATGTGGCAGGGCTCCCGTATCTTCAGAATGGGTGGATAGCTCAGGGAGGGGTGGGCTGTAAGCAGGTAGTGTTTTTATTTGTGTTCTTTGTCGCTGTTGATTGGTGCCCATTGCACTCTGACCCCAAGTCCATGGCTTCCTGGAAAGGGTAACAGACATAGTCTCTTCATGAGGTTCCTCCCTGGTTGACACTGAGGTGCTTGCTGCAGCTTAGCTTCTCTTGAATTTCTCCCACCTCTGTGACCCTCTGTTTGTTCTTCTGTTCTTAACTGTATTGTGGGTTTACTGTCAGGTACTTTGAAGTGTGATTTCAGTTGAGTGCGTATGCTTAGTCTGTCTTGAACCAGAAGCATATTGGACACTCAAGGGCTGAGGCAACCATCGTCTTCCTGTCTTGAGTCCTTTATAAGTACTATACCTCAGTGTTGCAGGATCCTGACAGGTGTCCCTTGGCGGGGGGGGAGTAGACACGACACCAACAACACAGGCATTGGAAACAAGTTGAGATACAAACTCAGTTTATCCCAGGAAGGGGTTAATCTCATATACTCCTCAACCCTGCCCCAGGGGAGGAGACCCATTGAGCTGGCATCTGTTGTGGTGATGTGGTCACTGTCCACAGGTCCACCTCATCTCTCATCAGACTCGGCTGCTGTTGTAAAGGCCCTCTGGCAGACCCAGGCTGGCTCTCCGGAGCTTTCTACTGTACGTGCTCTTACCATTGGTCTAGGTCACCTGCCAGGCCCATTGAGGCTTAGCTTTCCCACACCTTGGTGTTCCATTCCTTCTCTAAACACCAAGGGCGATGCTATGACTTCTGTAAAATGTATCTTCTGTATCTCTTGCCATCCTCACATGTGGCATCTGCGGGCAGTAAACTGTGTAGTAACCTGTGAGCCCTGATTGTGGATTCACAGATGAGAGTGAGCCCAGCTTACTATATCACAGTGCTGTTTATAGAGTGAGTGGTGCGTAAGGACCCACCCGTGGTCTTCAGCAGGAAGACCATGTCTAATTTCCACGTAAGAGCCAAAGTTACACTGTATGTCTTCAGAGCCTTGTTCCTGTCAAACGGACCTATCTAGAGAATCATGCTGTCTATGGTGAAAGTCAAAGGTACAAGAATTCAGAGTTAGACTCAACTCAACAACCTGTGTCATGACATTTGTCACCACATCAGACAAGAGTGGGGATACAAACCCTGGTTTTATTTTAAAGTTGTGACAATATTGTGGTGGATGCCTGCAGAAAGTTTGAGGCTCAGTTGTCTGTTTTGTTTTTGTTTTTTAACTTAAGACATGTCTTGGTAGTGCAGTTCATCACAGGCTGGGATTTTAAACGATTCTTTGATATCCTTGTGCTTGGATTCTATATAAATGCAAATTATACATTTCCCATTGCATCTTGTCTGTAATGTGATCGTGATTAGTGCTGATTAAGGGACGCTGTAAGATACATTAATGACGCTACACAGAGATTAAATTAAACTCACAATGCATCTCCTGCCCACCCAGAGTATGAAATTCAGAGAAAACGTTCATGTGTGTTCTTGCTAGACTATTTTTACTAGATTTCTATTCCATTTAACAAGAATGGGGCTGGAAAGGGGAAATGGACCTGCTAGTGTGTGATGATCCTTAGTATGGAGAAACCCAGATCGAAAATTCAGTGCTGGCATTTTAATCGTGGAATTAGTCGTAAAAATGTTGAATTTGAGTAATAAGTAAAATATAATCAAGTTGGGCTGGCACAGTGACTCAGGGGGAAAAGAAAGGTGTTTGTTGCTTAGCCTGAGGAATTGAATTCAATCCCCTTAGTGGGAGGAGAGGACTCACGCCCACAGGTTGTCCTTGGGCTTACATGCACACACATGTGCACACATGCACACTAAATAGATGAATGTAAAAATTGAAATTTCAAATTGCTACGAAGTTGAGTGATCAAATTCATGTTGGCATAGTGATTTTTATTTATGCTATGGCCATAGAGCAATAAATAGTTCAGAACCTAATGAAGTGTTTACTGTTTCCTGAGATTAATGTATGTATGTACGTACGTACGTATGTATGTAGTGACTTGCTGTGTGACTTTCTGGCTTATGGAGTGACAAAGGCAGAGGTGGCCCCTAGCTGGAGTCAGTCTGGTTTTGAGCTATTAGATCCTCCATGCTATTTCCCATCTGCAGTGTAACTGGTGGTATGTTGAAGTCTTTAGCTGAAAACTAGGAATGATGCTTGTTTTTAGGCTTGGTGTGTTGATTGCATTTTATAACGTACTTACGAGGTGTTACTTTCTTTTGATATAAGACCTATTCCACTTTTTCATGGAAATTTGGGAAGATTGAGAATGTATCGTAGGTAAAATCATTTTGAAAATGCAAAGTTCTGCATGTATTTCAGATGTAATAATAATTCAGTGTGTATTCATGATGTTGCAAGCATGGCTTGAAGAGACCTGGGAGAGAATTTCCATTACAGTCTCATTTCATGGCTGTGCTTTAAGTAATCTTTTAAATTTAGAGGAAATTGGAACATTCAGCTTCAGCCTCTGAAATTTATATTGTGGGTTTTCAGTTTAAATTTAAGCTATAGAATTGGTGACTTTGCACTACGGAATTGTTAACATGTTGTTTTTAATAAAGAGCATAATCATGATAGTTTCTGTAGTAGAATGATTAACAGAAGCTGCAAGTTTCAGTGTGCCCTACAGATTATTTCAAATACAGTCCACTACAGAGTCTGTAATTAGTCCTCTGTAGATGGGTAATTCTTGACTTTTCTTTTTGTATTTGTAATGGATTGTGGTTCCATCATTTCCTGCCTATGGTGGATTTGAATGCACCTTTAATAAAGCCATACAAATTATTTCCCCAGAACTGGTTCATTACCTCGTTCATCTGAACAGTTGCTGGGCCGTAAAGAGGGTCCCCGGGACTCAATCACATTATTGGATGCTAAAGAACTGCTAAAATATTTCACCCCGGATGGATTACCAGTTGGAGATCTACAGCCATTACAGATTCAAAGGGGGTGAGTTATAAACCTACAATTTGCAACTCATTTCTAAAAGTCACTTAAAAATAGCATTGTGTTTTTTCCCCCTGTAGTTAATTGGTGCTCTGAACTGAGGCAAAAGTCATGGGTTTGCCAATACTGTTTATCACTAGCCTTCACAGCCTTGCTTCTGTGTTCACGAAGTGTTCTTCTGTTTTGTGACCCTGAGTTTGAAGAAGCAAAGATAATGAAGACAATTCAGTGCATCTCCCATAGAAGTCATGGGCAAGGGCTTCTGCGTCCTGTGGACAGAGGGAAATACATTTTCTCATCTTTGCTTCTCCATCCTTATTCTGAGTGTGTGTGGTGTATGTGGCAGTCACAGGAGTGCCACAATGGGCACATGCAGGTCAGTAGACAACTTTTGGAGGCAGTCCTCTCCTGCCACCTTTGCATACATTTCCAGTGTTGAGCCCAGGTGGTGTAGGGTTGCTTTGCTAGAGCCTTTAGCTGCCAAGCTGTCTTGCAGGCCTGGAAATTCATTATAAGAAGTTAGGTTTTGATTTGCAAGTGTGTCTTTTTTAACTTTTCTCCTCTGCATTACTGTCGTTTTGATTCGACCACCACTTGGCATGATGGTTGTCGGTTATGACTACTAATGGCAAGAAGCATGGCCTTCCTACTGAAAGAGGTGAGGGGAAAAAAAGAAAGATTGTTTTAAAACGATAGCATTAGCTCAGCGTCTGCATAGTGCATACTGAATTGACTTCTGAGACAGTGCCCACTAAGTTGCTAGTTAACAAATGCTGACTGCTGCTGGCATGGGTTACAGGATAAGCAAAACTGTAGCATCGGTTTCTTGTGAAGACTGAGTAATTTGCTTACTCCTCGGATTTCTTTTTCGTTGTTAATCCATTATTTTAAAATCCTCCTAAAGGGCTGTATCTCACTTCGCTCACTTTTCCCAAGCTAGTTTTGAGCTGTACTGTGATAAATATTTATCTTGAAGGTGAATCTTGGAAGGGGTTTGAGTTGTTTGAGAAACAGAGTCGGAGAATTGTCTTTTGGGCATGTTATTGGGGAGGAAGGGGCAGAGCATCCCTTACAGCAAGAGGGCCACAATGACTTCCCTCTTCTATTGATATACAACTTACATAACTTTGCAGTCATTTCTCCTGACTGTGAGAGGCTGATAACCCCTTTTTGTGAACTCCAGAAGGAATCCTTACACAGCTGCTCATCTCTAGTTATCACACCGTGGTCCTTGGTGGGCCAGCCTGACTCCATTTTAAGTTTAGAAGTCATCTTATTACAAGGCCAAAATAAGTTCGTTCCTGTTTTCTATAAAATTTGGATTTGAACAGGTCTTGATCCATTTTCTGGGGTTTGACATGTTCCTGGTAAGATGCTCTGTCAAATGTTCTGCCAAGTTCCTGTGTAACCAGAAACCCGTGCGAACCCCCTAGCCTTGCAGGTTTTCTTGAGCAATAAATACCCGACTGTCTCCTGCGTTCAAAGTCATTTTCTTAAACCCTGCTTTAGGGAGATTGCCCTGTCTGGCAGAAAATAAAGCTTGCATAATTTGACCAAAGAATGTGGGTAATGGTCTTTGCTCTTGTTGGCGGAATTCACAGTCCCTTCAGATAATTACCCCCAATGGCACATCCAATGTGCCCAAATGGCTGCTTACTCACCTCAGCTGTACCCTTTAACTGCAGTGGTTTTCAGGTTGCCATGTAGGGGGATGTTATTAAATACAAATCCTCTGAGAAATTTACATGTGACACCCTTAGGAAAGATCTAGTTTTGTTTTTTGTTTGTTTGTTTGGTTGGTTGGTTGGTTTTACGAGACAGGGTTTCTCTGTATTGTTTTGGAGGCTGTTGGTCCAGCCCGGCCTCGAACTCATAGAGATCCGCCTGCCTCTGCCTCCCGAGTGCTGGGATTAAAGGCGTGCGCCACCACTGCCCAGCTTATTTTTGTTTTGACATGGCCTGATTATGTAACTTAAGTCAGCCTCAAACTCACTGTATGGTTCAGCCTGACCTTGAACTTGCAGTCCTCTGCCTCTGCCTCCCAGATGCTGAGATCACAGGCATAGCCGCTTTGCCCAGCTCTTAGAAAATGTGATGGTTCTTTGTCATTAGGAAAGAGGGGTATCATTATCACGATGTCTTCTCTTAACGGAATGGTTCTCAACCTGTGGGTAATGACCCCTTTGAAGGTCAAAGGACCCTTTCATAGGGATTACCTAAGAGCATTTGAAAACACAAATATTTATATTATGATTCATAACAGTAGGAAAATTGGTTATGAAGTAGCATCAAAATAATTTTAGGGGGGGCTTACCATAGCATGCGGAACTGTATTCAAGGGTTGTGATGTTAGGAAGGTTGAGAACTGTATTAAAGGGTGCAGCTTTAGGAAGGTTGAGAACCAGAGACTTAACATGATTGCAGAAATCTGAGCTGCCCTGGCTGCTCTTACCTGTGAAGGCACCCCCCATTTGCTAGGTTCCATTAAACACAGGGAAAGCCTTGCTCCTCATTATACCAAGGGAATAAGAACATTAACAAAACACGTGTTTGTTACATTTCTTTTAGAAAAACAGAGATGAGTGCCATTGAATAAAAATAATGCACTGGGAAGGATTGAAATAGGAAATGATGAAAGGAGAGTAAAATGCTAAATACTTCGATCCTGTTTTACAGATTATTCATTTGAAGGGTCCCTCATCAAAATAATGAGGTCATTTCAATTTACTAATGATACTTTTTGTGGAACACCTTAACTAGGGCTGTTAGTATATGAAGTTTTTCTAGGATTCATTAATTGGCCCGTGTTTGACATTTTAATACAGGGATGTAGTTCTTGCCGTGATCTTTGGTGGCAGAAGGGCAGCTCTCCCTACTGGGTCAGGCGTGGGGTGGGCTGTGAGAGCATCGTCTGGCTTTGCCTGCCTCTCCATCCCTGCCAGTGTTCACAGCTCTGCACCCAAGCCTTCGTTTCACTCTGCGCTGTGTGAAGAACCACCCCCCCCACCCACCCCCCGCGCTTCAGACTCGCCCCGTCTCCATGTCACTAGATCTGAGTTTCAGGACTATGATTGAGTCCTTTAGACCAGTGAGTCCTAATTCATCAGGGACGGGAGGCACGTGTCACCATGAGCCAGAGACTGCAGCAGCCTCTTTATTCCCAACTCGCAGTAGCCCTACAGGTTTAGGTGTGGAAGGACTCGGGCATTAGTATTTTATGAAAGCTTAACATATGATTGGTTCTAAACGCCTGCTGATTGAAGCATCCTTCAGAAGAACTGAATTCACCAGTTAGTCTCTAGACCCGATCCTTGTAAAGTCACCGATTCTTAATGTCAGTGACAGTCTGACTTCACTCTCTGAGGTACAGTAGGGAGTAAGTACTTTCCATCGCCAAAGATTCAAGTTAACTTTATTCCTCTGTCAGCATGTTTTGACTCAACAACTGAACACAAATTCATTTCGCCGAGGGTGGGGTGATACGGTTGAGGAATAATGTCGCTGCCTGGATGTATATTACAAGTCATTTTTCTTTCTTGATTATTCATTCTCAAGAATTTTGTTCAGTGCGTGTCATCGTAATTTTTAAAATAGAGGCTCAGAAAACAAATGGGGCAAAGGGCACAGACCTGGCCTGTTTCATTTCCTTCTTGGGCTTTTTAGTATACGTTAACTCCTCCCACCCAGCAGGGTCCTGTTCTTTATCCTACACTGGCCTTGAACTCACTGGATAGCCCAGGCTGGATTCAAACTCGTGGTGATCCTCACACCACCACATCCAGCTACCTTAACTTTTATGGTATGTCGTAGTTAGGGTTTCTATTGCTGTGATACATTACTGACCGAATGAAACTTGAGGAGGAAAGGGTTTATTTGGTTTACACTTCTGTATCACAGTCCATCGTGAAGGAACCCAGAGTAGAAACTCCAGGCGGGAACTGGAGCAGAAACCATGAAGGATGCTCCTTACTGGCTTCTTGCCCATGGATTGCTCAGCCTGCTTTCTCAGACCATCCTGGACCCCCTGGGGGAGGCACTGCCCACAGTAAGCTGGACCCGCCCACATCCCTCATCACTCAAGAAAATGCCCCACAGCCTTACTTACAGTATATCTGATGGAGGCATTTCCTCAGTTGAGGTCTCCTGTTGCCAAACACCTCTAACTCATGGCAAGTTGACAGAAACTAATCAGAATACCATAAGAACACCTCATATGTGGGGGAGAAAATCAGGTTTGTCTCCTTAGGCGCCCTAACTCACTCTTTCATGTAGCAAACCTTAAATACAAATGAATCCCTTTTTATTTCAGGGAAAAACCGTTGGTTTTGACACCAGAACTTAGTCCTCGGAAACTTCAAGTCTTACCTTTTGAAAAAGCCTCCGAATGCCATTACCACGGGATTGAGTAAGTCTTTTTTACACATTTGTGTATTGTTGCTGCAGCCTTTTTGATGTGAGTGTGGAGTGTAAGTGGAATAAAATTAGTTTTGTTTCATTTAAATGTCCTTTAAGTTGCTCTGTATTTTTGTCAAAATTTCTTTGGTCCATACATTATTAATGTGTATTTTGTCTGTGGTCACATGAACACTCCCTGGTCACTAATTATACTGTAATTGCTTGGAAGCTAGTGGATGAGCTCTGAATTTCTACATGTTAATTATGAGGGCACCAGTAGAACATTGCAGTTGACTTTTTATTTATTTGACAATGCATATATATAACGTAGTTTGATCACTTTCGCCTTTCTTTACCAGCCTCTCTCTCACTCCAAGTTCCTTCGTCTCAACAAACTCCCCTCCCCCACCCCTGAAGCTCTCTTTCCTTTGTGTGTGTTTGTATTACCACTAAGTTTAATGTCGCTTACATGAGCATTTGCAACAGTTATTTGAGCAACTTACCAATGGCTACACCACTGAAGAAAATGCCCCCCCGACCCCGACAACTTCTCCCTGGGCTCCAGCTTTTACATTCGTTCTGCCTCCATTTCTAAGATGTGCCCGGGGTATGCAGTAAAGGTGCAGTTTAGGGCTGAGCACCGCACAGTTGGTGTTTCTCAGCACTCTGGTGTTATGCGTCTCTGTATGATACACTGCCTACAGCACACAGGTGCTTCTCTGAGCAAGGCTGGGAGCCGCTTTAACCCGTGGCTATAAACGTAAGTGTTTAGAATGCAGTTTGACAGCACAGATATTTACAAAACAACAGTAGTAGGTTCCTTCTTATCTCTGAGTTCTGCCGCCATTATTTTTTTCTTTTAATTTACTGTTTGATGATTTCATGCATACATGCAGTATATCTCCATAGTATCTACTTTTCACTTCCCGTTATGAAGCTTCCCTTACCAGTGGTTCATAGGGAGGTACCCTGTATCTGGCTCTGGGACTTTCATTAATAACCTTGTCTTCTGGGAACAGTAGCATCCACCTGTGCATGGTACTTCCCATTCATCTCTTTTAAATGCAACTCTTTGCTTGGTTTACAAAGTAGTAGGTTTCTACATAGCTTTCCAGCCACCCTTAGCTTCACTTAACAGCCCCCCTGCCTCCTTTGCTCCTCCATTCCTACTCATACGCTGTGACTCCCAAGATCGCCACCCCAACTTTCATGTCACATTCGTTTCTTTGTGAGTGCCTGCTGCCAGCCCTGCTTTGCAGAAACACATTCTTGGTTTCATTTGGCTGCAGTTTTCCTTAGTGTTTACTTCTTTACCTCTAAAGGACACCTTCTGGCGCTATTGTTTTTATATCTCTGTATAAAACTCTGCCTTTGAAGATGCAGCCCCCCTTTTCTCATTGGTGTTATTGCTATTTATTTACTTTTCATTTGCATTTATTTCGTGCGTGCGTGCGGGCATGCGCAGTTATGTGGTTGTGCTTGCATATGTAGAGGCGAGGCCAGGGGATATAGGATTTCTCCTCTAATGGTCTCTGCCTTATTCCCTTCAGGGTCTTTCACTGAACCCAGACTTCAGTGATTTCCATCTAAGCAGGTGGCCAGCAATGCCCTAGGAATCGTCTCCTTGTTTTCATCCCATCTGGAGCTGGGTTACAGGAACGCACTTCCTGTGCTAGTTTAAATGTAGTTGGCCCCATCGGCTCACAAGGAGTGTCACTATGAGGAGGTGTGACTTTGCTGGAGTGGGTATGGCCTTGTTAGAGAAAGTATACCATTGCGGGGTGGGCTTTGAGGCTTCCCGTGCCCAGGGTACTGCCCAGGGCCTCCGTCCACTTGCAGGTGCCTTCTGATCAAGATGTAGCCAGCACCGCGTGTGCCTGCATGCCGCCATGCTCCCTGTCGTGATGATAATGAACTGAATCTCTGAAGTGTAAGCCACATCTTAGTTAATGTTTTCCTTTATAAGAGTTGCCGTGGTCATAGTGTCTCTTTACAGCAATAGAAACCCTAAGTAAGACAATGGCATACTTGGCTTCTTATGTTGTGTGCTGGTCCTTATGAATACATAGCAAGCACTTTTACCCAATGAACTATCTCCCCAGCTGTTGTCTGTCTGTCTGTCTGTCTGTCTGTCTGTCTGTCTGTCTGTTTTGGAGACCAGGTCTCACTCTGTAGCCCTGGCTGGCGTGGGTTTTCTATTTAGACAAGGCTGATCCTGAACTCAGAGATCCACCTGCCTCTGCCTCCCTCATGCTTGGATTAATGATGTACGACACCACACCTGAGCCTATGTTTTTAAATTTATGGTGAAAATCCTGTTCCTTATACTATGGCCATTAAGTTCTATATCCCTCATTTTGTTTGATAGGTTTGGAGCCTTCTACTCTATTTTAATATTTTACTTAATATTCCTGAATGCATATATAATGACCCTAATCTATTAAAGAAACTTAAATAGGAGTTCTGTATATTTTGCATGTAACTCAGATCCGAGAGTGGAAACCAGTAAACATTGTTTGTATTATCACAAAGTGTCCCTGCTGAGAAAAAGCTATACTGGAAACATTTTCCCTGTTACAGTGACAAAAATACCCCAGAACACAGGTGCTTTTTGCTTCCTTGGCCTTATGAGCTCGTGGAAGCACTGACAGCTTTGAATAAAGCAACGATAATTGCATCTTAGCGGCTGGCTAGAGCGTCTGTCCTGGTGCTGCATTTAGATCATTGTTCCTCAAGTACCGTAATGTAGTTTTGTTTATCTTGTGCTTCATCTCCCTCTTTTCCCTTGTTTTAATTTAATATAGAAAAATTAATGGTGTGTCTGAATTTGTAAACAATGGTATTCGTGTTCTTTTATTAAAATAGTAAACGGATATTTGTTTGTGCAATAGTGCCCTAAACCCCCATGGTGTTTTATTTACAGTATCATGAAACACGCTGATTATGGAGTAGTTTCCCTCTGTAATCTCCCTAGTCCGTAGACAAATCGAATCGTGTTCTTAGTCCTTATTATAAATTTGTGCTTATTAAGATAGGGACACTGAGACAGAAGGAACTAACTTCTCTGTAAGAGATGGCCTCCCTTACTCAGAAATATATGGTTGTTTGGTTGTTGTTGTTCTTCTTGTGTTTTTTCTTTCTTTAATTTTTTCCTTTTTTTAATTTACTCTTTGATAATTTCATGCATGCATGCATACAATGTATCTTCATAATGTCTACTTTTCACATCTTCATTATGAAGCTTCCCTAACCAGTGGCTAATATTGAGGTACCCTATATCTGGCTCTGGGATTTTCATTAATAACCTTATACTTGTTGTTACACTTGAGTTTATAGGGTGAGGACACATACTATGCTTGATATAGATAATGGCATGGAAATAAACTTCAGAGTAGTTTGAACCTACAGAGGAAGTCCTTTCTTTATTGCCTATATGTTGAAGATAGTATTTTTGTGTAAGTCACAAAACAAAATAGCTTGTGGGTACTTTTTTCTCTTGGCTTAGTTTGGGTTACTTTTGCTATAATGAAACACCGTGACCAAAGCAGGTTGGAGAGGAAACTGTTTACATGGCTTATGCTTCCATATGCATAGCCCATCACTGAAGGAAGTCAGGACAGGAACTGATGCAAGAGGTCTTAGACGGCTCGCTCCTCATGGTTTGCTCACCCTGATTTCTTATAGAACTCCGGGCATTCGGCCCACGGGTGGTCCCACCCACACTGGTCTGGACCTCCCTGCATCAGTAGTCACTAATGAAGAAAATGCTCTGCAGGCTTGCCTACAGTCCAATCTCGTGGAGGCTGTAGATAATGTCAAGATTACATAAAAATAAGCCAGCGTGGGACCCATAAATCATTTAGCTATTCTTTTGTAGAAAATATGAAACTGTTAATCATTTTTCCAAGCATAATATTTCCCTAACATCAGATATATACCTTGCATCCTGTGTCCTGTGTCTCTCCTTTTACCAAGTCACTTTGTCTTAAAGGACATTTTAATAGCAGTACAGGGAGCATGTGCAGTGTACGGGATTCAGTTGAACCGCACTGGGAGCTCCTGGAGTGGTGAGACAGTCTAAAGTCTACATCTTAGAAATCAAACAGTGTAGCACAAAAACACCCTTATAACCAAAGGACAGTTTTTCTCTTAAAACAGTTCTATATACAAGCTAATCAGATACTGCATTGCTTCTTGCCCAGAGTCTTCCTACAAATTCATGGTTCTTAATTTTACTGTTTGTTTTGTTTATATCCCAGGATAGAGTATCAGTAACTTCAGGGTTACTGCTGGGATTTTTTGTTTGTTTGTTTGTATTGCAACAGAGTAGAGAAAGAACGAAGCATTGAAATCTGTGGTCTAGCCTTGCACTTCCATTGATCAGTCCTCTGGTTGAAGAACTGCTTTCTCATAGTTCAGACATTTTAACCAGACTTCTTCCAGTCTGCAGCACACTTTATAATAACTTAAGCAGCTTTGTATTTCACATCTCTCTACACACACACACACACACACACACACACACACACACACACACACACACACGAGATATGTAACACAGTGTTATTGAATATATGTACAAAGTGAAATGGCTACTACAGTCAACTTAACACAGCCATCATCTCATACAGTTACCATTTTTTTCCATGTGTAACAAGCATTTGAAGTCTAATGTTAGTATGTTTGTAGAATAGCATCATCTTCATTCTGCATTAGATCTCTAGGTTTATTCATCCTACAGAACTCTGTCACTTTGGCCCTTTGGACCAACAGCACTGCCCTCTCTCTCCTAACCATGAGCCCTATTCTACCGTCTGCTCCATATATTCTCTTTCTTTTAGAATCACTTTTAAACCCTTTTTAAAAGAGTAAGTGGTAGAGTTAGTCTGTGTATATGTATTCAGGTTTTCAGCAGGTTATAAGATGCAACCATGTACTAACTAGAGTAAAACGACTCTTATACTTTAACCTAAGGGATGCTATACTGAAGTGGTTAAGCTCCACAGTCACCGACTGAGTTTTAAGTTCTGATTGTACTACTTGCGTTGCATGTGACTGGTGGATTGTAAGACTTGCAGTGGTAGCAGATAAGCCTCCTGATGACAGAGGCAGCCTTGTGCATTTGGTGGCTAGTTTTCATGTTTCAAAATCTGACCAAATTACAACCGCTCACAAATAACCCTGAGAGTGCTTCCTTCAATACGTACTACAAAGCACATTTTGCAGGTCAGGCAGCAACAGCATAAAGTAGTTTGGCCTATCACATAGCTAATAGATAAAGGACTAGGATGTAAATCCATAGAAATCTATGGTCTGTAGTCTTTGAAATCAGATACCTATCCTGAGGGGAAAATAGGGTTCTGAAATCCTCATCAGACTGTTAGGTGTCGGAGAAGTGATGTATGCTGTGAGAGAGATGAACTTGGTGTTAGGGACCGTGTTAGAACAACTTTTCAGGTGGAGAGGGGAGGTGACAGAGATAGGTTTGAATTGTTCCTATGTTGACAATCTCCTGGGTGACTTCCCTGGGTGACATCCTTTGTGCTCCCGATGCAGTTACAATGCTGTCCCTGTATGTTTACCTGTGCTTAGCACGGGACATCGAGCTCAGAAGCATTTGCACAGCTAATGAACGCATCATTGATTCACTGGATTAGTTTTAACCGGAAACCAGAAATGCAGGCAACCAACCTGTTTGAAAGAAAATGTGTCAGTCGGGTGAGGAGTGAATTTCAGTACAAAACTCCAAAGTGTTCTGAGCTGTCGGGCAAGGCAGGTTTGAACTGCTTTATATACCTGTAAGTCTTGGTGTTGAAAAATAACCCTGCCCTCTCCAGCAGAAACTGGCACTTCTCATTGTTCTATGGGAGCTTTGCTGAGGAGGTCGGGGTGGCTGGAGTTTTAAGAAGCATTAGAGCGGCATATGTGCTAGTTTGGAAATAATCTAAAGGATTAAATGCATCTGTTGCCATGGAGCGCGGTGGAAAAGGAATCAGTTAATCGTTCACATTTGTAAATCTTCCTGTCATGCAGCAGACTAGAAAAGAGATGATTGCTGGAGAAGTGAGCCCTTCTGAGTCGGGGTCTTGCTGCTTTCTCTTAGAAAGGGAAAAAAATCCTATTGTTCTCCTGGATGTTCAGTTTTAATGATCTTTTCCTCGGTTTTAGATACTGCTTGGATGACCAGAAAGCTTTAGAGAGAGATGGAGGGTTTTCCGAACTTCAGTCTCGTCTTATTCCTTATGAAACCCAGACTACCTGCACCAGAGACAGTTTTCCAGTCCCCTCTGTGTTGAGCCCTCTCCCGTCCCCTGCGGTTCTGTCAGAGCCGCGGAGTGTCCCCGACGGAGAGGCACTACAAAGCGAACTCCGAACTGAAGTTTCTGGACTGAAAAGGAGATCTAAGGATCCGAACTGCCATTACCCCCAGAAAAGGTGACCCATCTTAGTACTCAGAAATGGTATCTCCAGAGAAGCGTTTCACTCTCTGGAGGCTTGTTTTTCACATTTGCCTCCTGTTTTTATGCTGTTTTTCTTTCTGCATAGGTTTTTAGATTCGTTCCTTTATGAGATGAAGTTCGTTTGGATTTTGAGAACTTAACTGGTTTTGCTTGTAGGGTATAAAAAGAGATGACTTGGAAAAGAAGAACTCTGGCTTTCTATGCTCATGCACAGTCCGTGAGCACAATGGGGCTATGAAACTGTTAAGTCAGGAGCCGTAGCCATGTCACCAGTAGTGAAGGGCTCAGCTGCGCTATTGAAGATGGCATTGGAGAGTGGATGTTTTTAATTCTCTGTCTCCGCCCTCTCTGTCTCCTGCTTACATTGCCTTTTAAGCAGGGGCCCCACGGGCTCCCACTTAAAGACTGCTTGTTACATGTGACTATAGCTTTAAGGCATACACATAGTGCATTTCATGGAACTTTTCAAGGTACTTTTTTTTTTTTTGCTAGCTACATAATCCAGAAATATTAGAATTTAGATGTTGATAAAAATAAATACTGAATTTAGAGCAGATGTCAGATTTAGGCCCTTGATATAGGAAATACACTGTAAATTCTGGCTATATTTAAACCCTTTAAAACTAACTATAAAATATGTCGAAATAAAACTTTCAAGTCGTTTTGAGCAGGTGAAAATATGAGAATACTATCATCTCCCGCTATGGAATAGCTAAATGGTTTTCAAGAGAACTTTGTTAGTTCATGGTATTTTTTTATGTCTGATTGAGTTGCAAAGCAAAATCATTAAAAAGATTTATAATCAGCAAAGTGTACTGTGGCCTAAGAGGAACAGACGGAATGGCCTTACTGCCTGTTTTGTAAAAAGGAAAACATTTCCAAGTCATCGTGAAAGCAAATATAAATGTTTTAGGAAACAAATAAAAACCATTTTTTGTTATATTTGTTCTCATTGCTTATTTTACACAGACAGTTGCAGAGATATTATAACACAGAGGTTTGTGGTTTCCTTCTTAAAATTCCTTAATGAAAATATGAGTGCGTAATAGGGTATTAAGTGTATAAGTGGAGCCTGTCCTCATGATGTTTATTACTTTCTACATTAGCTACCATTGTAGTTATCACTTGCCGTCTGTCTTAATTACTGCTCTAGTTATTTTGTTGTTGTTGTTGCTGCTGCTCTGATAAAGTACCCCGAGAAAAGCAAAGGAAGGGAGAAAAGGCTTCTTCCAGTCCTTCATGGAAGGACAAGTCACAGTGGTGAAAGCTTGAAGCAGTTGCTCATGTCCTGTCCACAAATGGAAGCAGAGGGCAATGGACACACCATACCGCAGCTCAGCTCTCTTACACAGTCCAGCATCCCCTGGACAGGGAGTGACCCGCCCACGTTAGGATGAGTCTGTGCACGCAGTCAGTGCAGTCATGATAACCTCCGCCCTAGGCATGCTGGGAGGCCATCTCAGACAAGTCTAGCCTAGCCTCTGTCAAGCTGACAACACTGTCATAGTGAATAATTTGCAGAACTAAGGGAACAGCTTCAGTGTTTGCTGTCAGGTATTCAGTGCAAATTAGCAAGAGATTGTAGTTTTCTTGAATTTAGGTTTGAATGAAAATAGTTGTGACATTTAAAGCAAAAAGGAGACTCCATTGTTAATTCATTTCGTTTTTACTTTTCCCCTCTTTACAGGCTTACAAAATCAGAAAGTTCTTCTGATTGCCTGCAGTCTCAAACAAGCTGCGGGACTAGCCATTACCGTCACGTGGGGACATCCCGAAAGCCACAGCCGGAGCGATCTGTGTCAGTGCCCCCAGTTCATCGTGAAGCTTCCAAAGTCACCACAAAGACCAGTTCGGGACAAAAAAGTGTGCACTCATCGAAACCATCAAAGCAGGTTAAGGAATCGCGGTCACAGAAACATACACGGGTAAAGACTTCCTGCTTTCTCAGTTCTGCATGAAAAGAAATTTCATTATGTGAGTCTCTAAAAACATATGCCCAGCTGAAGAATAAGATGACATCGGAATTTAAAATAACCTGATGCAGTGATGAAGACTAGAGCTCAGCAGTAGAGCACTTGCCTGGGATATGTTGTAATGTGTACTCTTCTCGCCAGCTGCCTGGGTCCCGGCAGCTGTCTCAGCCCCCAAATAACACAGGAAACACTATATTAATTATGAAGCTGTTTAGCCGTTTGCTTGTTTGTTTTTTTTTTTTTTTTTTTTTTTTTTGTGGCTAGCTTTGACTTAACTATTAACCCATAATTGCTGTTCTGAATATTTCCACATGGCCTTCTCTTACCGGAGAAAGGGTCTGGACCTCTTACTCCTCTGGTGTCCTACATCGTGACTGACTATGCCTCTGTTTCCCAGAATCCTCCTTGACTCCTAGTCCCACCTATCATGCTTCCTTGTTGGCCAACAGTGCTTTATTTAAACAACCAATAAGACAACGTATACACAGGAGGGCTTCCCCATCAATATGTGAAGCCCTAAGTTCAGTTTTCAGTACGGCTGGAAAGGAAGGTGGATGATGAGAAAGTGGGCAGCAGTATTATCAGTGACACACATTAGACAGAAGCTGATTATTTATTATAAAAGTTGGCATGTCAGTGCATCAGAGCAGGAGCATCTAAAAGAATCCTCCATTTTCTGTATTTGAAATTTTTCTCATAAAGAAAATTTCCCTGCTGTGTGTATATTTCCCAGCTGTGTATAAACTGACATTAGGGTTTTAGGTCACCGCTGGCGATTTCAGTTCCTTTCACCAGTTACCCTCGCATTTCCTGCTGAACATGAATCCTGTGGCATGGATGACCATGTAGATGTTACAGGCATCTCCTTTCTCAACCGGGTTGTCACACCAGCTGCATTTATCTTAAGTACAGGCAAATGACTGCCTCACAGTTCACTGATGTTCAGACAATGGTTGAGATAGCTCACCCTTTTCGAGCACCCCCAACCACGTGTCCCTTTCTGTTAAAGATGCTGGAACAAGTGGTCAAGGACACCCTAAGGAGGCACCGCATCACTGAGGCCCACGAGTGCTTCGCTGCTTGCAGCCAGAGACTCTTCGACATCTCCAAGTTCTACCTAAAGGTGGGCGTCTTCTCAGTGCGCGGTAGTGCGTAGTCCATGCTCTGATACTTCCGTTAGGTGTAAGTGCAAGTAGCTTTTATATTGCTAGTGTCTCCTTGCTGCCGGCTTGCTTTCAAGTGGAGACAGAAATACTGGAGTAAATGCTTTACATTTGACTTCTTTGACTGTAGCCTTGTGTACAGAAAGCTACTTCAACCAGAGGCCATAGTGTTTTCACTACGAGGTCTTTTACTAAGCTGGGGGCTTCAGCATTCATTGGTAAATATTTTATAATAAAGCTATATGAAGCTGAATGGTGAGTATATTATTTTTTATTACAGAAAGTAATAAGAGACAGCTGTTACTAGTCAGATGTAAGGAGTTGCCGGGAGGGTGGTGGTCAGGGGGTAGTTTTCTTTATTTTTCTTTTAAATCATGTGTTTTATGCATTGTGTATGTGTGGTTATTTTGTGTGCATTCAGAAGCCAAAGATGGACAGTAGACAGAGCCCTGATTGGCTCCTGAGTTCTGTGGAATTGCTTCAAGTTTGTTGTCATTTAGGATGATGTTGGCTGTAGGTTTCTTATATGGCTTTTATTATATGGGGGGAATGTTCCCTCTACCCTACTCTCTCTAGAGGCCTTTCATGATGAAGACATGTTGGATTTTGTCAAATGATTTTTTCTGCATCTTTTGTCTTTAAGTCCATTTATGTTGAACCATAGCTACATCTCAGGGATAAAACCAACTTTATCCCTGATGGATGGTTGATATTTTTGATGTGTGTCTATATTTGGGTTGCAGATATTTTGTTGAATATTTTTTAATATATATTCATCAGGGAGATTGACCTATAGTTTTCTCTGTTGTGCCTTCACCTGGTTTGAGTATTACAGTGACACTGGCTTCGTAGAAAATTTGAGAGTGATCCTTCTGTTCATATTTTTAGCCATTTTAGGTTTGGCTATAGATTTTCTGTTAGAATTCTGCTGTCCATCTGACCCAGGACTTTTTTTTGTATGAAGACTGTTTTTTACTATTTTAATCTTCTCATTTGTTATGGGTCTATTAGGTTGTTGATCTCTTCTTGGTTTACTTTTGTTGATGAAGTCTCACCAATATGGCTGCATAAAGATGACCTGATCAAGGATGAGACCAGTAACATGCTATACAGACACACACACACACACACACACACACACACACACACACACACACACACACAACAACATTAAAGAAAAGGAAGCCATAAATTTAGAAGAGAGGGGGTTACACCGAAGGGGTTGGAGGGGGAAAAGGAAGTGAGAAATGATGTAGTTATACTATAATCTCAACAATAAAATATAATAATAATAATAAAGTTCCTAGAACCAAGGGACATGGGCTTCTTGCTGAAAAAGACATTGCTTACCCAAGTCAGTGAGTGAAAATGATAGCAAACCACTAGAATGTCACACCTCCAAACATTCAGAACATTTTCCGGGATTTCCCCAGAGAAAGGGCTGTTACATATTGAATGATCAGGAATTAAAAAATATTAAACTTCTCCATGTATCTTGGTCCACTAGAAGCAGTATAAAGAGCGTGTGAATAGGGATACATGGGAGGAGTTGGAGGGAGGAAAGGTTTTGAGGGAAGGTGACCTATCCGCTATTAATCCAGAGTGACCAGTCTATCTGCTCTAATCTCATCAGATGTGAAGACTTGCTAACGACACTTTCAAACCCAGAAGTTTAAAATGTATCTTCCTCTTTTATGGAATCTGCTAGAAAACCAAGTTGAGCACATAAAAGATTAAATTAAGCAAAACAAAAATCGACCTAGAAGGAGGAAAACAAGACCCACATGGTCTAGAAGCCAGACAACTGGGCCAGACTGTAGGAAGATCTTCGGGTAAAAGAAAAATAATAAGTAAAAACCCACAGAAAACTTAAGTGAGAGACTACCCAGGGCAAGATACTGTTTAAAAAGCTTCGTTATACGTTTAATCAATCCATTGGGAGAGTGGGGGAAATACCAGAGTTATGTATGTGGGGAAAAAATCCCCTGTGACCAGGTAGTTTCCCTATGGAAAATGTAGAAGGCTGAAGGAAAAGAAACATGGCAACTGTCCACTAACTGCCTCTGCTTTGATATAGTGAAGCAAACATGAGCTAGTTATGGATCCCAGGCTGTGATGCAGCTGTTCTGTAGAAGACAAGATGGCATTATGCATAGACCTAGATCTGACCATTAGTGATCCATGCTATTCGCAGTCATTCTGAGATTACTACGTCACCAAGGGCCAGGGAAACATGAAGGTACAAACAGGAGGAATGCTAGAAGAATTCAAAGTGATTGCCTCTGTGAGATATTACTTGCTTTTTTCCCCCCTTTTTTGTACAATTAAGGTTTAAATTTTGTGTTTTAATTTGATATGTTCTCCAACTCCCCTTGCTGGGAATTGAACCCAAAACTTTGTACTTGGAACACATGGTGATCCACCACTGTGCCAAATCTCCAGCCTTATCATTGTATTTTAGAAATTAAGATTATGGTTTTATTCATCTTTGTGGTGGAGCGAAATAACTAGAAAAGAAGAAGGAAAAGGCACACTTATCTGGCATCATATCTGAGCAATTAGTAGAAAATCCGTGTTCATTTTCCAAGTTGCAAAGCATCAACAGTACAGTGGTGAGGTTAAGCATGAAACAGCACTGTTAGAGACTAGGATGAGGTACGTGCATGTATGTTTCCTTAGAGTATTTTATGCTTTCATGATGAGACTGCATTATTACATTGATTCTGGGTAATACTTCCCTGATGGCAGTGGCATTTGTAGAATTATTTAGGGTCATCTCAAGTTTATTTATAATGAGCTGTCTGTATTGTAATGAACAAGGCTCCAAATGCTGTGTTTTATTAATGTCCTAGGATCTTAAAACATCAAGGGGTCTCTTTGAAGAAATGAAGAAAACAGCCAACAACAACGTGGTACAGGTACATTATTTTGAAAAAACCACATCCAGTTAAATTGGTATTTTGTTTCAGGGTTTGCACTTGCAGTCAGAAACAAGATGATCGTTTCAACAGCACCCATCTGAAATGTCCTTGCTATTTAACAGTGGCTCAGACAGAGTATGTAATAGCTTTGCCAAAAAAACATTTTCTCCAAATGATATTAAAAGAGAAAAATGAAAAACATAGTCCAAAGAGCTCGGAAAAAAATATTCCATTTTGATTAGCTGTTTTCAAGGTTTGTTTAGTTCTTTTGAGTGACCCTTTCCAAATGTACTTTGAAATAAAGGTAAGAAAGCCGGTTGAGTCATCATCTGGTCCATTAAGGGCACTCATTGAACTCAGCTTTGGATGTAGGCTGCAATATGCTATTTATTTGGAAAATAAATTATGTTTAAACATAAAGGTTGAATGTTGCTTTCTTTACATTTTTCTGTGTTTGAAGTTGTTGTTTTTTTTTTAAACATAGTAGTAATTTAATAAAGCTATTTTCCTATTGGCTTAAACAGGAGGGTAAGGGAAAGAGGTACTCAAGGAGGAAGCCACAGCCTGAGCATAGTTTTGAAGTTGTATGGAATTGTTCTGCCGTGTGTGTTTTGTGTGGAGCGATCCCACAATCACATCTCTGTTTTCTTCTGCAGGTGATCGAATGGGTGTTAGAAAGGATAAGCAAGAAGTAAGCCGGTACTTCTCCCATCCCTTAGGAACCCTGCTATAACCCTTACTCCGAGAGTAGATGCTACATTTGTAAAGAGGACCCCTAGTGTCCTGTATTTATAGAGTTTTAGTGATGCTCAGTTAACGTGTTTTTAATTAATGCACTTATTTTTACAGCTTCACAGTATCTTAATCTTATTTTTATATATTTTAAATGTTTTACCTCTTGGTTATTTAATTGTTCAATAAACAGTAATATTTCTTTACTTCTTGGATCACATGTCCTTATTATTGGGCCTGCTTAAGTTTCCACCTGTCGTGGTTTCAATGAGAGTGTTCCCCACAGGCTGTGGCATTTGAATACTTAGTCCCCCGGATGGTTCTTTCTGGGGGAGGCCCAGGAGGTGCAGCCATGTTGGAGGAAGTGTGTCGCTGTGGGTGGGCTTTAAGTTTTCCTAGTGTATTCTCTGCTTCCTGACTGCAGTTCAGAGTGTGAGTTCTCAGCTTCTGCCCTGCCTGCCAGACCTGCTGCCTGCTGCCTCTGCTCTACCATCATGGACTCCAACCTTCCAGAACCATAAGCCCAAACAAATTCTGTCTTCTATAAGTTACCTTGGTCCTGCTGTTTTATCATAGCAAATAGAAATTAACTAAAACTCTGCCCTTCCCACGTATTCCAACAGCAATATTCAAGACTGTTCCCAACTTACAAATGCCAGAGCCACCATTTTCAGAAGTATTGCTTATTTGGGATCAAAAGTGAAGAAATGACAAGAATTGTGAAAATAAGACTCATTGATTCTTTAGTATAAATTCCCATGGAGCGAGAGGTTTTAGAGAGACGACTTTGTACTTAGGGCACTGTGTGCTGTTGAGAGCACCCAGGTTCAATTCACGGCACCCAAGTGGTAGTTTACAACCCTCTCTAACTCCAGTTCCCTCTTCTGGCTTCCACAGGCACTGCACAGACGTGCTGCACAGATAGACATGCAGACAAAACACATATAAAATAAATCTGAGATCATTATAAAGAAAGCTTGGGAAATGCATGGAATATTAAAAAGGATTTTTAAAGTACCAATGTCCCATTTTCTAAATACTAACTTCTACTAGTGTTTTTTAGTATGCATGTGTGGTTGTTTTAAAATACTTGAACATTTCAATCAGAAAGCTTGTGTTTGTATGTGTTTGCATAGCAGTCTATATAGCCTGATTTTCACCCAGCAGTGCAGTCATCCTCTTGTCTGTGGTTTAGGTTTCTGGGGTTTCAGTTGCCATTGGTCTACTGCAGTCAAAGTTGGAAAATGAAAAACAGTACTTGACTTGTAGACAGCGCGCTGTTCTATGTGATGAAGTAGTGTGTCGTCTTGCCTTCATCCTTCCCAAGACACCACTGGGAAGTGATCTCACAGTGTATATGTCACCCATCCACCCACCCATCCATCCACCCATCCATCCATCCATCCATCCATCCATCCATCCATCATTTAGCAGCTCTAGGTTACCAGACTGGCAGCTGTATTTTACTTGCAAAGGCAATAGAGCACAAAAGCAGTGATCTGGTGGTCTGGCTGTGTCAGCGAAGTCCTGTGGCTCTTCCTTTCAGTGGAAAGGTAAAAGTCATCTGAATGGGACAGGAAAGACAAAAAGCTCTAAGGGTGCCAAGAGCTGTGCTGAGAACAAATCTATACGTAAAGAAAGAAAAAGGAATATGCGCAGATGTTGTGCTGAAAACATCTATATGGAAAAAATGAGCGTTTTTCGTTGTTGCATTTTGTAAAAGTTGTGTTCAGAGTGACCGGGTCCTTAGTGAAGCTGGGAAAGTTACTAAATTTACATAGGAAAAGAAAACGGTGTACATAGTGATAGTATCCACTGGGCCCCTTGGAAAAATACGTTCAACATGTTTTTCGTATTCACTACCATTAGTTATAAATGTAATACTATGGGACACTATTTTCGTAGTGATGTAATACAAGTGAGTCAGCATTAAACCTTCATTAAAGTTGTAGTTTCCTGTAATTAAAAGTTTAAAGCTCTTCCCAGCACATCACTGACAATTATTCCTGAATCGCATCTCCTAAGAAGTAAAGCATGAGGGCTTCAAGCGTCTTCACACATCATTTCCAACCGCCTTCCAGAAGGACCAGCTTGCACTGAATCCCCCTTTGCTTTCTTTGAGGTCTGGAAATAGTGAGAGAAACTTTGGAAACATGATAGCAAAATGTATATTGTTTATTCCTACCTTTTGCCCATTCTCATTTTGAACTCTCTGACTTTGACTTGCTGCTTTAGAAGAAATTTTACGTATTGAGGGTGTTGGCATTTTTTTGTTTTATTTGCTGTTCAGGAATCTTTAAATTTTATGGAGTGAGTTGCCATTTTTTTTTTCTGCCTCTTGAAGTTGGCCTAATGTGAGTATGATCTGTTTGCTCATGTGGAAATCATACTCAGGCTTTCAAAAAGCGTAGGTATTCCTTGAAGCCTCTGATTTGAAATTCTCCCCTTTTATCTAAACTTTTATATAATAGGATATTGCAAGGAATGAGGGAACATTTTAAAGATTCTCTTTGATCAGCAAATTTGTGTTCTAAAATGTTTTATGGCAATAGGCTTTTCTGGCATAAATGTATTAAACAGACTAAAAGACATTTGTAATGTAAAAGGGACTACTAGCTACTTTCACAAAACAATGAATTAACAGAAGTGATTTGGAGAGGTTTATTTAGAAACTATAATAGCTATAGAAATTAACACTTTTGAATTTTTTGTTGTTGTTATTTTTCGAGACAGGGTTTCTCTGTATTGTTTTGGAGGCTGTCCTGGAACTGGCTCTGTAGACCAGGCTGGCCTCGAACTCACAGAGATCAACCTGCCCCTACCTCCCGAGTGCTGGGATTAAAGGTGTGCGCCACCAACACCCGGCTAGAAATGAACACTTTTATAGTCTTAGTTTCCTAGTCTAAAAGCAGAAAATAGTGCAGACTTCCTAGGTGCCAAAGAGGGTGGTATTAATTATCAACATTACTAATTATGGACTAATTATGTGCCATAAATGCTTCTACATATTTTACATGTGTCCCACTGCTGACATATGAGGTAGATGGCCCCTCTTATGAATTAGAAATTGAAGGACAGTAGCATGAAGTGTGGTGTCCAATAGCTCAGAAGTTATAAAGCCAGAGGCTGACTTTGATTCTTTGAACCACAATTTATCCAGTTTGGGTATCTCTCAAGTTGACATACACAGTGTCTTGTTTTCTTTTAAGGGTCCTGGCTTGCTATCATACTTAATAAGATTATATGATGCCCTATGTATATAATGAATATATGTCAATAATTAAATGAAAAAATAAGCATATGTATTAATGGTCATATAAACATTTTAAAAATAAGTATATATTCAAAATGAGGAAAAGTTGTAAGTTGATATCACTTAGTATTTTAAGTGAATATGTATAATTTCAGGATTTTGAATAAGCTTTTATAATGAGATTTGAAATTTGTCAAAGGTAAGTTATGTCATTCTGACCAATAAAAAGCAAATGCTTAAGCAATAGTAAGTTGAATTAATCATTTGTTAAAAGTACTCAATATAGGCAAGCATTTTTATCAATAACCATTAAGGTGAAGGACTTACTACCTGAGTCTTGCAGTGGTGACTGAGACATCTTGTTTAAAGGTACACCACACACCAAACTTCTCTTTGAGAAAAGTCTTCAGAAACAAAGATCTTGAACAGATACATACCTGTTCTTATGGAAGCATAAATGACGAACCATGGGTGACCTCATACCATATACACATATTCACTTGATCTGTGTATCTGTCCTTATAGAAACATAAATGATATATTGTGAATGATCTCACACCGTATGCATGTGTTAGCAACCTGGATCATAGTCCTGTGCATAAAACCACAAAACACATAGAAGAAAATAAAAACCTTCACCTTTGGACAAAACAAGCCTTCCCTAGAAAGAACACAAAAAATATAGACTTCAATAATAAATTAGAATAATAATAACATTCTATTTCAGTTCTGCTCTTGGAAATATAGTGCAATCAGGGAGAAATTGTGTACAATGCACAAGAAACTCTTAGGGCTTGTAACAAAACCCAATATTTTTAAATGTGCAAAAATTTTGAGAAAGACATTTTGCAAGAGAAGACATCAGAATGGAGATAAGCCATATAAAGATGTTTAACATGATTAATCAGATATAAATTAAAGCTTCTGGCATTAGTGGCACACTCGCCTTTAATCCCAGCACTCAGGAGACAGAGGCAGGTAGATCTCTGTGAGTTCTAGGCCAGCCTGGTCTACAGAGCGAGTTCCAGGACAGCCTACAAAATAATACGGAGAAACCCTGTCTTGAAAAACCAAAAAACCAAAAACAAACTAAAGCTGTAAACATCCCCTAAGAGGGCTGAAATTTTCAAATACAACATGATTGTGTCACAGTTGGAGATCTTCATGCTTTTGGTAAGAATGGAAAATAATTGGCTACTTCCTGTGAAGCTAAGTTTACAGTAATTATACAACCCAACAATGCTTTAAACCCAAGAAAAACTAAGACATTTATGTAAGGAATTGAGTTAGGCTGCTCATACCCATTTGGTTCTCAACAGTCCCAAATGGGAAGTATGCGTAAGTCAACTTTGTATGACAGTTTCTACAATGAAATACTGCTCTACAATATAAAGGAATGGACTTCCTGCAACAGGCAGCAAAATGAATTACTCTAAAAGCACTAATCTGAAGAGAAAGTGCCAAAAATATGAAAATGGCCAAAATGATCACAGAAAACAAAGTAGTTTCCCGGGCCCACATGTTGGTGTGATTGTCTGGGAACAGTGATGTAAGTGTTCTAGATTCTGACTGTGATGGTGACACTGGTCTATACATTGGCCAAAAGGCTCAGCAAACTGTTAGTCATGTACAATACAATGGTGGACATGTGCAGTAATAGTCCCATAAGATTCTGTCCTTGGGTAACTTGGTAATTCTGGTTGTGTAAATATGCAGCGTTTGAGCAATAATTAAGTCACCTAGCAGGACGTATTTCCTGCTGTTAAGCAGCTCTGGGCTGCTCTTATAGATGCTGCATGGGTTTTACGTACTCTTTTAAAATATTTAAAACCCACAATTTGGGTTTCACGTATTCTCTATGGATTTAGCTCAGGGAAGTCAGTCTGCCTTGATTTCCTCTCTAAACCCCCGTTGCCTTTAGAAAATTTCTGTTTCCTATGCCCAGAAACCCTT